AATCTTTAGATTTAAACACCAAGCAGTTACCGTGCGCACGTAGGCCCACGCGTGGACCCCCCCCCCCTCTTGGAGCCCAGGAACCCTACTCACCAGTAGAAATACAACACCACCAATAGGTATTGTTATTTTACTGTAGTTTCCTGTAAGATAGAGGCATAGATAAATGATTGGTCTCCCTCAACTCGTCTGAAGCGAGACCAATCATTCTTCTATGGATAGAGATTACTTCCCAAAACGGGCGCTCGAATTCTGTACTCACCTCTCTAAATGACGGTGATGATAATCTATCTAATATATAAAATTCTCGTGTCGCGGTGATTGTGGTTATACTCCTCCGAAACGGCTTTCCTGATTCTCATGAAATTTTGTGAGCATATTGGGTAGGACTGAGAATCGGACAACATCTCTTTTTGATCCCCCTAAATGTTAAGGGTAATCCACCCCTAATTTTTTTTTTTATTTTTTTTATGATACAGCATTAGTAATTACATATAACCCTGAATTTTCACCCTTCTACCACCGACCCCTATTTTTTTATGGCGGTACGAAGTTCGCTGGGATAGCTAGTCTTATATATAAAATTCTCGTGTCACAATGTTAGTTACCATACTCCTCCGAAACGGCCTGACCGATTTTTATGAAATTTTATATGCATATTCCGAGGGTCTGAGAATCGGCTACTATCTATTTTTCATATCCTTAAGTGATAATGGTTGTCCACCTGTAACGTAGTGTTCTGAAACCTACAATGCGCCTTTGCGCCAAAATTCAAACTATTGGGTATTATAACGTAGTGTTCTCATATGGGTTAGGAGGAATGTTATCCCAGGAAATTGATAAAACACTACACTATTTTTTTTATAATGTGCTATTAAAAAATATTCATGTATTTTTAACTACCCTAAAGGAGATTGCTCAAATTGGCCTAAATGCACAAAAAAATATTGACATACACGGTAATTCTTGGCGTAATTTATAATTTAATTTACAGTCATTAGATTTCAACGGACACCTTTGTATAATATATTTTCTTTAAACAGGACTTTTAATTTTATCGGTTTGGAAAACATACGAATCATTTTTAATGGCTATGGGTGTAGTAACATTCAGCCAAAGACTGATCGAAGTTGTTTATATAACATAAAAACAAATCTATTTTGTAAAGATCGATAAAATAAATAATATTTTTTATTACACTGTGGTATTAATATCCACAACTATATTATCATTTTCACTAGATGCAAATGTGCTCAGACAAATATTATAGATAGTAGGCGACATCATAAAGTCTATTGCCATACATTTTTCGCCAAACACCTCCATAAACACATTATAATCTGTATATATTATTTATTATATATTACACTTTAAGGTATCTATCTATGGGCCTACGTTCCCTGACTATAAAATTATAAGGTGTAATACACTAAAAGTCTCAAATATGGTTATCTGGTATATCAATATGGTGGTATAACAAAAATAATGAAGCTACTGAATATATGGCTATAGAACCTAAATCTCTTAGCTTTCTTTGGTTAACGAGAGTTTAAAAATTCTCTCTAATCTGTGTCTCATTCACAATCATCACACAGTTTCTGTCACAGAGTACCTTATTATAACCGGAAATGACACCTGATTTTAAAAGTTACTCTTATGCATTAACTTTAAAAACAGGCAACTATCTGTTAATATACATGCTCTATATACCTGAATCTAATCCATAATTTCGGTTCTTGGCTTGATTTCCCTAGTTTACTTATAACTGATTATTTTTTTATTATTTTAATATATTCAGTATATATGGTTTATAGAAGTTCTCAGTGGTGTCCGTCAATAATATTCGTGTCTACAGTAATTTATATATAATTTCGAATCTAGGAAACAATTTTTCATGATTATTGGTCTTTAGGCCAAACATGTATGGAAGCTGAGCAATCTCCTTTTCTCTTCTACCACCTGCCCCTATTTTTATGGCGGTACGAAGTTCGCTGGGTCAGCTAGTCTCTTTATAACCTTTGAGTAAAGCATGGCGCAAAGTCAAGAAATCTAAACAACATTCCCGAGTTCCGTTCAGTGTGTATTCAGCCGAAACGTTGTACTCATTCAGCAGGTCGTAGGTATTCCATTACTCCCCAAAGTCTTATTCCTGAGTGAGAACAGTTAATTTGAAGTTCCGACCGATTGCGGGATCCACTCGGATACACCACAGTTACCGTACAAATGATAACTTTATTCATGTGAATTAAGTTCACCAACTTGAATCTATAATAAACTCAAAGGTGACTGACATAATGATCTATCAACGCACAACCCAAATCACTGGACGGATCGGGCTGAAATTTAGCATGCGGGTAGATGTTATGACGTAGGCACCCGCTAAGAAAGGATTTTGATCATTTCTACCCCCAAAGGGATAAAATAGGGAATGAAAGTTTGTATGAAACTTCGTCAATTTTAAACCGATCGGGCTGAGACTTTGCATGCAGGTATAAGAAGAATCATAGATGAATGTCATTGTGTATAATACAAGCCTGAGAACAAAAACTGTAGTCTACACTTCAGCTCTACACCGAAGCGAAGCGAGGGCGGGCCGCTAGTATGAAATAAAAGGAATCTTACTACCCATTGATATAAGACATGCGCGAGTATGCGAGCTAATTTTTTATTGGTATATTTTAAAGTGAAACTTTTAAACATCACCACATCATAATTTTTCGGCTATATTAAGCACGTCGTGCTATATTTTTTTCCGAGAAGCTCGACGGATCGGGTGGTTAGCCTGTTCGGCTGCGATCGTTGAAGTTAAGCAACTTCCGCAGTGGTCGGTCATTGGATGGGGGAGCAAAAATCTTCTATCTAGAGTTTAGCCACGTTAAGCCGTTGGTCCCAGCTGCATCTGCAGCGTTAGCACCCGTCAATCCGCACTGGGCCCACGTGGTGGGTCATGACCCAATCTCCCTATTCCATTCATAGGGAAGACCTGTGCCCCAGCAGCGAAGACATTAATAGGCTGATGATGATAATGAATAATAAAATTCCGTGTATATTGTAAAATAACGTTTTATTTCGTTCCTTATAATCATAGAAGCCATATCGAGTACATTATTTTTAGTACACTGACTTATGACTATAAACAGTTACTTAATGTTAACACTTAAACACAGTATAACATTTAACATACAATCACATTCATCTGGCACTCAAAGTCTTCGCACGACTTATTTTACATATTCACGTACTTACAGGTCGCGGCACCTAACTCTAGCGCTGAACAAAATGCGGAGGGGATATTTTTGAAGTTATACTTCTTTAGGCGCGTTATGAAAAAATGATGAGAGTGAAATTTTAAGATGCGCGCGCATCACTGTAACACAAAAATTAACAGCATGAAGTTGGTCGCTGCTTTAGCGACCAACGTCATGCTGTTACTTTTGTATTTACCGCACATTAAGAAAATCTACCAACAAAATAGAAATAGAATCTCTATTTAGTGGGTGCTAACGACTGCATTGTGAAGGCCTATCAAAAGTATTTATTAATCTGGAACAACGGAACCAAAGCGCGATTCAGGAGACTACAGCGCCATCTCTTGACCATTGGTGTAGTAGAACCAAAAACCACATCTTTATTTTTTGTAATAAAGTAACAGTTATAGGTATTCATATTTATAATATTTATCCACATGTTTCTAGTTTGTATATTCGGAATACGTGTTTGAGTTTCATACAAGTGCAAATCACATATGTTCTAATAAATTATATTCAGTAGCGATTTTAATTGAATATTTTGATTATTTATTTATTTTTTCAAATTAAAACTGAACTTTATTGACTGTGTCCTTTTCCAGACTTTTTATTAATTTATTGTAATTAATTATTTGCATGCAATTAAAAACTATTTTTTAACGATGCCAAAGAAGGATAACTTCTCACGCGCCTACATAAGGACACGCACTCATTTTTTTTTTGAAGTTCTCCCGTTTTAGGTAAGGCAAAGGGAACAATGCCCATACAGCCTGGTCTTTAATTAAATTAATCTTCTTTTTGTTTTTACATTACAATGTCGGTGTGACGCATTCTAATGTTTCTTGGAGTGTTTGGCACGAAATGTATCGAGTTGGCTTTTTCGATAAGCTTCTGTGAGGTAGTCAACACTACAATAAAATTCTCACGTCCACTTGACCGGAATAGCGTATATTTTAACGATTCCACTAATTCTTCAGTTACGCAGACAGTTGTTACACAAAACCACACCAATTTTATTTCACAATATCCACTATGAACGAATTTAAGAATAATTAAAATAAGACGCCAACCGCATTCGATGAAATCCCGCCAAAAACTTCGCGGAGGGAATAGCTGCGTATGGGTACGACTGGAGAGCCAATCGTCGTAACGCACGCCCCCCGCGCACCTCGTTTCCCCCCAACACGTCTTAATTTTTACTTCTGCGCATTAACTGTCAACGCTAGAGTTTCGTGCCGCGACTTATACTTAGGTCTTAAAGTATTTTTTTTATTATATTACCACGTCAGTGTTACTGGGTAAAAGAAATAATGGTAACTAGAAAAAGTAATGAAAATTTTACTAGAACAAATTCCAAGTATTTTTTTTATTATTACCACGTCAATGTTACTGGGTAAAAGAAATAATGGTAACTAGAAAAAGTAATGAAAATTTTACTAGAACAAACAAATTCCTTGAAGCGCCCTCCGCTATCCGGGCGGATGCGGGGTTCGAGTCTCGTCTGCTGCCTGGTCCGTGTGGAATTTTATCGAGTAAAATTTTAATGAAAATATAACTAGTAAATATTCCACATGGACATGGCAGCAGACGGGACTCGAACCCGCACCCTTCGCTATCCGGGACCAATTATGCTACCGCGACCCTGACGGCCGCGTCGAAATTCCTCTAGTCATTCTTTTGGTCAGTGCATTCGCCCGGATAGCGAAGGGCGCGGGTCGAGTCCCGTCTGCTGCCTGGACCGCGTGGAATTTTTTCTAGTTATATTTTCTTTAGATTGAAACATCAAGCAGTTTCATGCTTCAAAAATATAAATTATGAGTAAATTTTTCTTTAGATTTAAACATCTAGCAGTTAAATGGTTAAATAAAATGGAAGTAGTAACTTATCCTGCTCCTTATGGAATTAAAAACAGAGGCCAAACTTACATATAGCAAACACAAATATCCAAGTGCAGTTGTACGAAGTTCACACATTTGCTCACAATTATGTATTTAATACGTATTACTCAAACTATTCAGTAACTGCCCAAACATTGTGTGATTTTGACAACATATATAAATATGTATGTCGGCGGATGGCGTCTCACTCGCTCCTTCGAAACGTTAAACCGACAACAAACGTCATCAGTCAAAAGTACCATTGCCTTGTGAAACGTCAAGTAATGACAGTGACAGCTGTCATCACTTGGGAGTGGTCTATGCTAAGGGTAGTATTTAAGGGGCTATGCGTCATTGGAAGGGGCATTCGGCATTCAGACGTGAGCTGCGATAGTGAACGGACGTTAGCACAGAACTCTCCGCGCTTCACAAAGCAATCCGTTTGTACCTTGGCAATCATAACTGATTTTGTAAAGTAATAAGAAGATTCAAATTAAACGTTAGCTTGGTCACTAGACTACAGTTTTATTTTCGGGAAATATCATTGAATAACCAAGATGGCGGATCAAGAAAAACCACGTGGCCAACCGCCTATATTACCGCTCGGCCCACTCCGACATGTATATATATGTTGTCATAAAATGTTTCTATATTTATTTTTGGGAGCACGTTTTTTAAAATAAAACTCTGTTTAATTCAAGTGTTTCCTAAAATTTATGAAATGCGTGAAAGTATGAACGAACATAAAATATTTACGACTGATTTGCTAATTTACTGGACTTAAGACGCTTATCTTTGCTTTTACTGTCGATCGATTGCGTTATTGCGTGTTTGATGTTAGCATTTGGAGTCATTTGAAATACATTTGGTTTTCCTAAGATAGTGCTATAGGTAGATATTTTATTAACAATAAACTTTTGCAGGTATAAGTATGATTTCGTAGAGACAATTTTAAAGAAATCTTTATCTGTAGCATCATCGTGGTGGTATCCTAATTTTATAGTTTTGGATACCTACTTACTTAAAGTAATATTGAAGATCTATTGAAAAATTAAACACAAGTTTGCTGCATTTCAATATAAATTGCCCGTTGATAAGATAACTTTTATTAAAAACGCTTCAAATGAAGTAGGTTAAATACTTAGAGCATTAAATGTCAAATTGCTTCTAATCTCGTAGACTCTTCAAGACGAGCAAGAGCTATTCCAGAAATTCCGTTATTTTGTAATAAAAAAAACAATAAATGAAAATTAGACAACATATTGCACAAACTCAAATATTAATATTATAACAAATATAGATAAGAGAAGTCAGATGCAAAAATATATAAAACTATAACTTCCAACATGATGACGTTTTATATAAATATTTGAAACCCCATATTATTTCATAATAGTAGAAACTCTTATCATTCGTGACACTGTTATGAATTCACCATAATATTATGAACCCACTTACATTATTGAATAATTTACTCGCTATATTTAAACGCTTTTGAGCATTTTTGTATCCATTAATATTAATTACGATGAAACTATTTAATTTTGACAAACATTTTCTTCAAGATTATATTTCTAGAAAGACACCTTAACATAACTTTAGTCCCACAAGTAAAGAACATTTTAATGTCAAATATTTATGTATATTTCCAAATGCTTATAATAAATTTGACAGTAATAACATTCACTCAAGCTTAGCTAATATAATGTAAAGAAAAGCTAATGAAATAAATCATAACATAAGATCGATAAAATTACTCATGCAAAAATTCCAAACTTGCAAACTATTTTCACACAATTATTATAAAGACGCATATAATGCCTAAGAGCAAATCACCCTGTAAAATCCATAATGCGATATAAATACAATTTTATAAATAGCGTATTATACTAGAGTTTCAATAGTTGAGATGCTGAAACATAATGAACGAGAAGATATAGGTATCGAAGCTAGCATAAAAACAATATTTGAAGAACAACAAAACAAAAATTACAATCAAAGGAAATCCACAAATTGAGCTGAAGTCGCACTGGTGACAATTGCATTTGTTAACATGATTGTGCTAGTAAGTTCTCTGAAAAATGTATAAAATAACCTATTGATCTTGTGAATGAAGCACATATAAAAGTTCATATACTATAAAACAAACTCATCATCACTAATAAACTTTGACCTAAACACAAGTTCAACAATCATAATACACCTAATCACCCGAATACGCAGGTCATTAGCAAATTCGATCAAAAACGAAAACTTGGAACATTAATCTTCCAGTGTGACCACAGTTTACATCGAAAATATTAACATATAATATTGCACATAGATATAAATTACATTATTTAAAAAAACCTAAAATCATGTTGCCAAATTAAAAACACAATATTTTCGTCACGTTCTCCTTTTTAATATATGACTATGTTTCTATAACTTCTCGGCGAATATAAGTATCAATAATATTTACATTACAGTATTTAGAAACAATAATTTATTTGTAAATAAAATTTAACATTAATCGCGATTATTCCGACACTGCTCAGTTTCATATTATCTAATGTTATATATGAATAATATTTCTCTATTTATAATTGTGGTATAATAGACATATATTTCTTGTACGCAGGTGCCTCACGATGTTTGACTTCAAGGAATCAAAATTCTAGGAATAAAAAGCCTTTTGGACATTTTTTTTTGCCGAATACAAAGAAAATATTAAGGCATTTTGGATCTTAATTCTCTTAGAATATGATTCACTGAAGTCATTTCCTCGGCTGCACTGCGACTAACTACTGTTTTGGTGTTGATCCTTTTTGGTGGCCTGGACGGACTTTTATGTCCACAGGAACTCTATTCTAAATTATTATTAAATATTCACTATAGTTAACATTTAAGATTATCATATAAGCCGTTTGCTTTACACTCAAAAATTAAATTCCTTTCGCATCGATTTCGTTAATGTACAGTTTCCTTATAATTACTTTGGTTCTACTTTTTACCTTTATTATAATTATTTACATTTCTTTACTATATGATTTCATTTTTATCAAATTTCATGGTTGTGCTATGAAAACAGTTGTGACACAAATTGTATTACTAATCAATACAACACCAAAAAAGTTCTAGAATTCTAAGAATTCAAAAGTATGATTATTATAATAATTTGTCTAGCTTTCTTCTTTCGATCTTACACTTAAAACAACACAATCTTATACATTGAATAAATATCACTTTTGATTTATAAAATACGAATATTCACCTTACTATTTAGACCAATTACTTTCATAATTTTATTTTATATCCTCTTATGGCTTTCCAATTACTAATTGCAAAGTTTATGAGTAGCTTGACCATTAGACCAAATAGGTCGCAGCGTTTAAGTATTATCAAAATATTTCAGATTTTTTGGACTTAAAATTTAGTAGTGTTTAAAACTGAATCAACTGTTTGGTAGGCACTTTGGTATAGTAAATTTCAAGGAGAGAATAGTGCCAAGGTAATGGAAATATCAGTTAATTGTAATACAAAAGCTACAGCTATAGTTGTTTAAGATTATGAAACATGTGTATAAAAATAAACACGAAGAAGAAAGATCATATTCATTAGTGATGATAAATATAAAACAGAGATTAATTTGAATATGACTTTACATCAACTTGGAATAATAAGTAAGACTAATTATGTTGAAAACAAAAACAGCGATAAGCACGAATAACCCGTAAAAGCATAGCTTGATAAAACACTATTGAAAATGGACAACGTATCTATACATGGATACTTCCCATTGCCTCACCCCGATTTATTACTGTTAAAGAATAAAGTCATTGATTACAAATAAATCATTGTACCTGAAAGATAATCCAGAAATTCTACTATGATGGAAGAAAGCCTTTTATTTTTGACTGCGACACGAGCATAAAAATTACTAACATACGTAATTTTCTGTGTCGCCATTAATTTGAGACACGACAAATCTAAATAATACCTGTTACGATATAAACAAAACCTAAAAATGTTACAAGAAGGCAAAACTGCACTGATTTTTGAACAAAACGGCCCAAAGCTAAACATGAAAAATTTACGAGTAAATTTAGTAATTACAGATATCGAATGTAGCGTAATCCGTTTCATGTACTCGTATTTTAGTCGCATTGTTCCCAAATTAACAAAATTTTTAATACAATTGTTCCGATAAGTATGAAGTAACGATTTCATCGGTAAAGTTTTTGAAATTTATTATTATATCTAGACTAGATGTAAGTACTGAGAGCTTGCCTGAAGTCGTGAAGAGCAGCGAGGAGTTGAGGGGCAGTCGGTCTCGCGGTGATAGAAGACGACCAGCACCACGACATGAGGCCGTACCTGATGATGTAAGTTCATCCATTTATTTAGGATAGTTCGCTTATTTTATCCTAATTGTAAAATTTTACTGGAAATATTAATCTTGGCCAAAGTTCAGCCTGATATGTTTTACATTTATGCTGATAAATATATTTAAATGATACCAGCGTCGTACTCATGATTCTTTGAGAGAATTGCGTTGCAAGGAAAAGACGTAAAATTTCGTTCAGGATTATCCTGAGTTTCAATAAGTAAAAGTTAAAATATAACATTAAACTAATATTCCTTATTCTTATTCATATATACGCATATATATAAGAGGCGCAGGAAGTTAACGCGTTCGGCTGCAATCGTTGAAGTTAAGCGACTTTCGCAATCGTCGGTCATTGGATGGGTATGAATCTGAATCTGAATTCAACACGAAATATTTATTTTACAAACAAAAGGTCCCAGGTGTGGACGTGTGTTGTGAAAAGTTTATAGTTTATTTAAGCATGGACGTAGTGTTGTTCAGTGACCAATTTTCCATACTGATACTTGTATGGGACAGTGAGACATATGAATCACCTGTTCCAAGAAATCTTAAAGTAATAGCTAATCTTCGCTGGACATGAATAGAATTCCGATTTTTTTTCCTATCTTTTCCATTAGTTTTTTTTCATAAGCTTTTGTCATTCTAGTAAAGTTATAAAAAGACCTATCAAATCCACGAAGGTCATCAAATAGATAACTTCTATTTAAAACGAAGTTTCGGAGCCACCACTTTTCCTTTTTTCTGTAGTACTCTCATTAATTACTACGGAAATAGCATAGAGAAACACTACCTCCTCCGGCAATATTCTAGCAAAAACTGACTAGTGTGGACGGCAAAGTTTCAGAAACAGTTTTTACGGTAAACTTGTTTATAAACAAGGTGATGAACTTAGTTACGGATTGCCAGATTTTTTTTTATTCAATTTTATTTGTAAAGGTACATTAAACAGCCATAGGCCAGCAAAAATGTACACAGCTGAATAACATAAGTAAACCTTAGTTACCAAAAAGAAAACATATAAAGAAAAAAAACATTGATGAAATAGTCTTCAATCTTAGGTGATGAAACAAACCGGGCGAAAGGAATGAAAACTTGATATTACCCGAAAAAAATCACTGATTGGGTACGAGTCTAAAAAACATTCATTGTATCTGCAATCAACCAAATGAATAAAAACATGCATAAAATAAACAATAAATATGTATATATATTTAAAATTAAAACGAAGAACGCTGACACCGCCGTATTACAATTCACACAGTACATGTTGTAATATGACCATAACGCCGCCATTGCACAAATGTGAGAACCACACGGACACACACGGTGCGGGGGCACCTCTTCGATGCCTCATGCTGCCCGAACCCTCGCCACTTCGTTTTGTTTAACATTTCGATCGGGTCAACTAGTTTAAGAATTAGCATTGTAATTTTTATAATAAATTAGTATTAGAAATCATTTCGGTATTTTTTAACTCTCACGGCTGCTGCATATTTATCTACTTTATAAACAGTTTATCAACAAATGCTGCCTAATGAATACGCGGCATCGTTCTGTTCAATTTGTAATTCTAATGAAAAAAATAACCAGAAAATATATTTATTTAAACTTCTTCATTGTAATGAAGATACTCAGGCCGTTTGTCCACCGCCGCCGTCACCGTCACGTCACCGAGAACGAGATTATTTCGGGCCGAGTTTAATATGACGTGACGGCGATCGTTTGTCCACCGCGACCGATGGTTTAGTTTGTTCCAACTGTCATGCGTGGTAGTTGCGTTTTCGAAGAAATAAAGTGATGGCTAGGTTAAACCGGCGCCAACTTCTTCTCCTGCTTTTGTACCTTCGAAGGCGCAGGCGATGCAAAGATTTTTTATTACAATGATATATTATGATAATTGATGACAGACAACTGAACTCAGCTCGTGTACGGTGCGACGGCGACGGCAGTGTGTGGACAAGTTCATACGTGTTTTATATTGCCGGCACATCGGCTCGTCAATATCTCGGGCCACGTTCTAGCGGGCACGCCTATCTACTCGCAATTTCGCCGGCCGGGATGACAGCGCTCGGGTGACGGATGTGCGATGGACACGCGGCTTAAGTAAATGTATGTACCGCTACTTCGGCGCCGTCCTTAAATTAAAACAAAAAAGGTAGATACGGTACGCTCAAACTTGCATCAAACAAAAACTGATCCCACGGCAGCGCGAACGGGACGGCGAGATCCGCGTCACTGCATTACTGACCCGAACGAAACAGCACGTTAAGTTTCAACGACAGCGCAAACGAGACGGCGAGATCCGCGTCACTGCACTACCGACCAATCACGCGACCAGTACTCGACGTCACTACCGATTAAGATTCAAAACAGACAGCAATTTTTATGAAAAAATATATTTTATAGTACTTACGAATGAAAAGTGATGCCGTGGGTTTTATTTTTAGTTCTTGAGCAATTTGACCACTTTTTAAAAACACACCTAGGCATTGTTTTATCATATAAACACAAAATATTAGCAATAGTTCACATGTACGTCGTTTGCATGCCAAGTTGTGACTAAAGCGATTAGGGTCGTGGACCACAATTCATGCGGATCACTTTTGTGAGGCTAGTGCCGTATCTACCCTTTTTGTTTTAATCTAAGGCGCCGTCATCTCGTTCTCGGTGACGGTAGCGGTGGACAAACAGCCTCACAGCTCATCTAAACTTTCTCATTGTACTTAAAAGACTCACAGCTCATCGGGACAGTTGTGCGGTTGAGACGGCCTGTAGCCCCCGCTGAGGAAAGCGCCCACGTCAGCCGCGTCCAGCTCCACTAGTGGGGAAGCCCCCAGCGTTGCTAATTCCCATAGAGTTATACCTAACGACCACTGCGAAACATTCACAAAATTCAATAATGCTTGCCTGCTATGAAGTCTATAATAGGGGTGATGACGGGGTACAGTAAACGAAATTCTATTTAGTCCGTCAGTTAGATGATCAAAAAATATTGGACACGTATTTTTTCTTTGGATTGGCAATCAACCAAAAAATGACAAAGTTATAGCGCGTCAAAGTTTGGGAGTAGGGGCTCGTGACGTCACTTTTGAGTGAATTTTCACTTATAAGTGTACTCAAACGTGACGTCATGCGACTTTTCAAATCAATATATCTCTGCAATGTTTATATTATGTGAAAAAAGAAAAAATACGAGTCCAATACTTTTTGATAATCTACCTGATAAACGAAGAAAAAAAAATTAGTCATCATCCCTATTACAATTTTTCATCGTGAAAAGTTTTAATGAAAACGCTTTGGATCACTCTCACACGCAATGTTTAGAGCCTGCGCTGCCTTTAGCTGAGCGGAGCGGGCGTCTGCACGGTGTGCAGTTTTTATGTCATTCCATTGAGACCCGCTTAACGCAGCGCACGCTCTTAAAAGTTAAAACGTTCTCTTACTCTTCTAAGCAAGATTATCAATCTCTTTTGTCTTTTTGTAACAGCCTGTATATTGTCGCGTGTGACGCTCGTAGCATTTCAACCTTCGCTGAGTTACCCTCCAATTTTTATGCTCGCCGGGAAGAGCTGCGCACGCATCCCACACACACACACACACACAAGCATACAATCGTGTGACGCTTGTGACGCACTCCCGCGTCATCTTCTTCAAAGGATTTTTCCATTTACACCCCGTCCGTAAAGAAGTTTCACCTATTTGTTTCTTAGGTTTTCACGCACATCACTCATTAAATAAAACTAGTGTTTACGGGTTAGGTTAGGTTAGGTTAGGTTAGAATTAGAACCTTAGAACCTTAGCTAGAATAAAACTTTTATTTGAATAAAAGCTTTATTCTGACGACGAAGCCTGTAAAGGCTACGAAACGTCAATAAATAAATAAAGTTATGTGCATTAACCCGTAAACACTATTTTTATTTAAGTTTCACCTAAAAAGAGCACACAGAGAAAACGCCGTGTTAAACACTCACCACATCCGTGGCGGTGTTGTACTGGTTCTGCAGCAGGGATTCTGGCGCCATCCACTTGACAGGCCTGTTCTCGTTGTCCCCGAGACAATGGTAGTCGTCGGGGAACAAGTCGCGCGACAGACCGTTGTCCGTCACTTTCAGTCTCAATTTCTCATCAACCCTATAGGGAATAGGAGTTGCTATATTAAAAGTTTTAGTGTAGAGTTTCTACTGTGATTTCTAGGGGGCATACGAGCAGACGGCTCACCTGATGGTAAGTGATCACCGTCGCCCATGGACACTTACAACACCAGGAGTATCACAAATGCGATGCCGGCCTTTAAGGAAGGAGTACGCTCTTTTCTGATCAGACCCGTCTTTCCCAGTGGGCACTTTGGGCAAGTGCCCAGAGCCCCGCGATCGATAGGGGCTCCCCTCAGATCAAATACAAAGTCCCTAGTTCCTGTTAAATCACCAAACGGAAGTCATAGGGGCCCCATTATTCTAATATGCCCAGGGCCTCCAATAGGTCAAAGACGGCATTGAATGTGATATTTTCGGAATGTTCTTTGCTACATACTTATTTGCGTCTTGTTACAAAGCAATAACCTTTTGTCAGAGGATCAAGTCAATTTTGATATCAGTGATACGTCTGAAAAGTTTCTTATGTCAAAGAATGAAAATCTAAATTTATGCAAAAGAATTTACAAATATTATAGCTATTAACGAGGTTGTTGTTGTTATGTATGCAGTAACCCGTTACTCCGTGATCATGGCGCTTGCAACAGTGCTGAAATATCGGAGACTCATGAAAATCAAGGTACATGGTTACAATCCCGTTATTAGCTATAATGTTAATGACCATGAAATTACTTAAAAACAATTTACCAAAAGTTATTTCTTATGATAACCTTAAAAGTTTAAACTTGAAGCTTAAGAGTATTTAAAGAAGATTACCACGTCTTGTCAAACGAAGATCGCAAACTGACCACTGCACTAGCGAGATCTTGCAATAACATTGACACAACACAATACACTTACACGCAATTCCTCGCAGCCACGTTGGCGTGGATCAGTCTCTGAACGCTATCAGGCTGCCTACGCCCCTAGGTCTACTAGTTGCCTCGTCACTGGCAGACAGTCTATATGATGTGAGGCAAGATCCTGATATTACTCTATTAGTTCCTTCGTCGTTGGCTGAAAGTCTATTTGATGTGGGGCGAGATCCTGCTATAACTGCTACCCAATACACTTACACACAATTCCTCGCAGCCACGTCGGCATGGATCCACCTCTGAACGTGAAGGTAGGCTAACAGTCTATATGATGTGAGTCTATTTCCTGCTATAACTCTTATAGTTCCTTTGTCGCTGGCTGGCAGTCTATATGATGTAAGGCCAGATCCTGCTATAACTGCTACCCAATATACTTAAACACAATTCCTCACAGCCATGTCGACGTGGATCAGCCACTGAACGTATAGGAAGCCACGTCAACGCAGATCAGCCTCGGAATGCGTAGAAAAGCTGGCTGCTCCTCTAGGTCTACTAGTTCCCTCCTCACTGGCAGTCTATATGATGTGAGGCGAGATACTGCTATCCAATACACTTACACACAATTCCTCGCACCCACGTTGGCATGGATCAACCTCTGAATGTGGAGATAGACAAGCCAGCAGGCTGACAGTCTATATGATGTGAGTCAACTTCCTGCCAAGTCAATTTTCCTATAACTCTACTAGTTCCTTCGTCGCTGGCTGGAAGTCTATATGATGGCGAGATCCTGCTATAACTGCTTTCCAATACACTTACACACAATTCCTCGCAGCCACGTCGGCGTGGATTAGCCTCTGAACGTGGAGGTAGGCGAGCCCGCAGGCTGCCTGCGCCCCCAGGTCTACTAGTTCTCTCGTCGCTGGTGCCGCTTGGTGCCCCAGCCTACATGATGTGAGGAACCTGGGCAAACGAATGCACCATAGTAAAAAACTTAGAATAGTGCTTGGGTGAAACTGGTACTTGCTCTGCTAATGTATACCTGATCATTATAATTACGTGTGATATTGTAACTTATATATGGCGAAGTTGTAACCTCAAAAATGGAAAATATCTCATGAACACCCTACATAACTGTACAAATTTATTAAGAGTAATTTATTTTAATGCATATTTAAAAAATTGATAAACAGGCAGTTCAGGCTGGAATCTTATCAGCGTCATTTGTCAACTGGACAATGTACTGACTGCTATGCGAATACCTTCTACTATTACAAGGTTACAAAAAATCTTATTTTTAGTTTTATGTAGGTATTAAACTGCTAGAATTTTCTCACCTCAAACTATATTTACCTCTTAAGATTAGAAGAATGAGAAGCACAGCAGTAGACTAGGAGCGGTCGCCTGGCTTCCTCCGCACACGCCGCCATCGGTGACAGTACGTTAGCGTGAGCAAGCCCGTACAATCGTAAGCCTTCCGCCACCAGTAGAGCTGCTTGCATGGCTGACGCGGCTTCTGTACGGGTAATAATTATATTTTTTATATTAAATCGGCTCGCGTTTGACCACGTCCCATCTGATGGAAGGCTATGACATGGCCTTACGCACGCACATTTGATTAGAGGGAATTTGTCATTATCATCATCATCAGCCTATTAATTTCCCCACTGATGGGGCACAGTCCTTCCCTATGGATGGAATAGGGAGATTGGGCCATGACCCACCACGCGGGCCCAGTGCGGATTGGTGGGTGCTAACGACTGCAAATGCAGCCGGGACCAACGGCTTAACGTGCCTTCCGAAGCACGGAGGAGCTCGAGATAGTAAATTTTTGGTCACCCATCCAAGTTTGATTAGAAGGAACTTTATCATTATCAGCATCATCAGCCTATAAATTTTTTCCCTATGGATGGTTAGTTGGAATAGGAATATTGGGCCTTGACCCACTACGCGGTCCCAATGCGGATTGGTGGGTGCCTTCCGATGCACGGAAGAGCTCGAGATACTAAATTTTAGGTCACCCATCCATTGATCGACCACTGCGATAGTTGCTTCACTTCAGCGATTGCAGCCGAACGCGTTAAGCAATTGCGCCATTGAGCTCCTTAACTCCTGAACTTACTTCAAAATATAACTGGCCACTTTTACGACATAGACCTATTCACATATGGGTAGTAAGTCAAAACATTCAAATAGAACTTTTGAATATTTGATGGTTGAGATGGGTAGGGATGTCGAAAGTTGAAAAAAATATCGATATATCGATACATCGATCTTTTAAAAAATATCAATATCGGCTTCGATATATCGCGAAAAAAACATCGATATATCGATATATCGGACCAGTTTTCCCAAAAATATCGTACAGTATCTCACGAAATATGACACGCGGAATAATAATGGAACGAAAATTATCTCCCTAAACATAGACCCTATTTTCGAATGATGAAAATGATTGCAGAACCTCTCAGGTAAATGATTGCAGAGTGTCTTTTGTAAACAAGACTAGACAGTCACACACTTCACAGAATATAATGGAAATCAGCACAACCAATTCACCAGCGAAACAGATTTACAAATAATAGACAATACTAAATACAACATATCTATGTTGTATATCATTAATCTGAGATCCAGTTACGATTTTTCCAGATACGAATTTAGTTAGATCGTGATATGCCGCTAATAATTAAAAAAATATCGTTTTTGATACGAATTTCGATATTGGTTATTTTGTATCGATGTATCGATATATCGAATCAAAATATATCGGCAAAAAGTATCGTAATATCGAACAAAAAATATCGATATATCGATACATCGATGTATTTTCAACAAGCCTAGAGATGGGAGCCCATAGATTAAAGTTTTAAATAACATTTATTAAGAATTTTCACAACCATTAAAAAAGTAGCTGTTCTGTGGAATCAGCCCAGTGAGAAATCGTAAACAATTAGAGTTTTAATTTTTATTATTTTTTTAAAGCATGTAACTGCTAAAATTATAACTTAAATGCTATTTCTTCTTTCAAATGTTTATTACTTGTAAAAGTATTCATTTTGACATTGTGGGTTACCTATAATGCGAAGAGATGGCGCTGCCTTGCAGCTTAAGAATGGCTAGAGGAATTTCGACGCGGTCCGTGAGGGCCGCGGTAGCATAATTGGTCAGTGCATTCGCCCGGATTGCGAAGGGTGCGGGTTCGAGTCCCGTCTGCTGCCTGGTCCGCGTGGAATTTTTTCTAGTTATATTTCTTTAGAATTAGAGTTTTGATAAAGGAGTCATGCACTACAGAAAGTAAGTAGCCAAGATGTGTCCGAAGTGACAATAGCAAATTGAGAAATCTGGCGTACGGCCTTAATCAGAAACGTCAGTTAAATTAAACACAATTTATTTATTTGGTAGCATAATGGTCAGTGCATTCGCCCGAATAGCGAAGGATGCGGGTTCGAGTACCGTCCGCTGCCTGATCCGCGTGGATTTTTTTTCTACTAAATTTTGAAGTTATCATTATTATTAAAGTGACAATAAATTAATAATACATTTATGACAATGTCGTTGCTAACTGTCTTTAAACCCAGCCCTTTATTAAGGCCTCCAGTTTATATGTATACATTTCGCGGCAAACAGGCTTCGCGTGTGTTAAATTTACTAATACCTATAAATAAGATAATACTAAAACACTCGTTAAACCGAGGTTTAACCTCACCCTGACAGTTAAGAACACGAACTGTTTTTAGGGTTCTGTACCCAAAGGGTAAAAATAGAATCTTATTGGTGTCACTCTGTCGTCTGTTTGTCTGTACGTATGTCACGGGTCTCTTGATCATAAACGGAATGAGTTACAGAACTGTAATTTTAGTTTATATTTCAATTAGAATTCTAGTAAAAAATTATATTAAATTATTATTTTTCATGAAATGCAGACGATTTTTTTCATTTTTTACCCTAGCATGTGATACTTATATATATATATATATATATAATATATATTTTCACTTACAAATAAATGGAGAGGCTATAAAAGTTGGCATTTTTAGACCATTCACTTTTTAGGGACGACCGGAGGGAATGGTCTAAAAATGCTATATAAGTATCACATGCTAGGGTAAAAAATGAAAGAAATCGTCTGCATTTCATGAAAAATAATAATTTAATACATTTTTTTACTAGCATTATAATTGAAATATATACTACAATTACAGTTCTGTAACTCACTCCGTTAATGATCTAGAGACCCGTGACATACGTACAGACAAACAGACGACAGAGTGACACCAATAGGGTTCTATTTTTACCCTTTGGGTACAGAACCCTAAAAACAGTTCGTGTTCTTAACTGTCAGGGTGAGGTAAAACCTCGGTTTAACGAGTGTTTTAGTATTATCTTATTTATAGGTATTAGTAAATTTAACACACGCGAAGCCTGTATGTCCTTGCCGCGAAATGTATACATATAAACTGGAGGCCTTAAGAAAGGGCTGGGTTTAAAGACAGTTAGCAACGATATTGTCATAAACGTATTATTCATTTATTGTCACTTTAATAATAATTATAACTTCAAAATTATAAACATGAATGTGCAATACACTTCCAAGCGTTACTTTATAAGAGAAAACATAGATAAATAAATAAATTGTGGTGTTTATTTTAACGGGCGTTTCTGATTAAGGCCATACGCCATATTTCTCAATTTCCTATTGTCTAAACTTTATTGCAACATAACACAGCAAATGGCGGCCATAATGCCATAAGGCATTCTCTACCAGTCGACCAGTAAGAGCGTGAGAAAAAACTAATATGATGGGGGCGCAATAAAGACAAATGTAAGATAAACCAAGGTTACAAATACTCTTAACAGAATACACACATATAATATATATATATATATATATATACATAGATACACACATATACATATATACAATACATACATAAGTATACGATTATGTCAGTCATATATGAGAACTCTGTTTAAAGCTATTGAGATAGTGCTCATGAACCAATCCCCTAAATGCAAGTTTGTTAGGAGCTTTACGTATATTGGGGGGCAAGTCATTCCAGAGTCGTACCGCGTGACAGTGAAAGAGTAGGAGACGAAGCCAGAAGAATGGACGGGAGTATGCAGAAGGAAGAAGAAGGAAGAAGAATTTTATCTAGTAACTTTCACCTCTTTGTGATGTTTTTTAGGTAGATAGACAAATTACTCTACTTGCCGGCCAGCTTCTTCAAGGCTCTTTTAAGGAACCCCAGATTGTAGAAAGGTAGGAGCACGTTCGCGGATAAAGAATTCCACTTGCGAATGGTACGACAAAGAAATGACTCACCAAATTTCTTTATTTTTGTAGGAATATAAGAAATGAATTTGTTTCAAAAATTCGTCCAACTTCAAAGCTTATTTTGTTTGTGCATTTTCCTTAAAAGTACAAGATCAACTCAAAATACAGTTGTGACATACGAGTGTGATTTTCTATTTAATTAATTTAAACTCTTCATCTTGAAGTCGGTTAGAAACTGTTCTGAAACTTTTTATCTTTTCTGTCATAACTGAGTGTATTTCAAAATCCCCTTGGCAACTCCTAACTTAGTGTTAACCTTGTTTACACCAAATAACTTTTAAACGTACCTAAAACTAGATATAGGTACTGTAATGCTTATCCTATAGGGATAGCTCTAGGGAACGTAGCTCACAATCTATACTTATAATAAATCTGTAGAGAGGTCAATTCTGTACATGAAATATATTGTCAAAATAACTATCAGGGGGTGATTAGTGATCGATACTGATGCCAAAAATGCAATCAGTAAAATTTTTGTCTGTCTGTCTGTCTGTGTGTATGTTCCTTATAAAAACAAAAACTACTCGACGGATTTTAACGAAACTTGGTACAATTATTCTTCATACTCTTGGGCAGGTTATAGTATACTTTTCATCACGCTACAATCAATAGCAGCAGAATAGTGAAGGGAAATGTTGGGAAAACGGGAGAAGTTACTCCATTTTTTAAGCTTCCGTCGCGGGTGCAGCCTTAATGGTTAAAGTTACATAGAAATCATGTATGACGGAAATATACTACATAAAATTGTCTAAAAAATATCCCGCAACAACATATGTCTATCTTTTATGGTTGACTCACAAAAACACGTGTAATTATATAAATAAAGTGATTCTTTATAGCACAAGCCTGAGAACAAAAAGTATAGTTTACACTACAGCTCTACACCGAAGCGAAGCGAAGGCGGGCCACTAGTTATTACAATAAGAAAACTTAGGATGCTCAAATTCTTGCATTTAAATTGAGAGAATAATATAATCGTTTTTCCATCAAACGAACGTTTCTGTCTGAATTCTATCTGCTGGAATGTTCGATATGAGACAAAAGATTCTCATATCCAATTCTTTGAAATAATGATATTTACCGAGGAGCTCGATAGCGCAAGTGGTTAGTGCGTTCGGCTGCGATCGTTGAAGTTAAGCAACTTTCGCAGTGGTCGGTCATTGGATGGGTGACCAAAAAAAATTACTATCTTGAGCTCCTCCGTGCTTCGGAAGGCATGTTCAGCCGTTGATCTCGGCTGCATTTGCAGTCGTTAGCACCCGCCAATCCGCATTGGGTCCGCGTGGTGTGTCATGGCCCAATTCCCCATTCCATCCATAGGGAAGGCCTGTGCCCCAGCAGTGGGGATATTAATAGGATGATGATGATGATGATGATAACTTGTTAATTTAACTGCCAGCCGTAGGCATTACATAAGCAAAGACAGCACAAGCAAGGATGCCGTAACTCTATGGGCGTTACAGTACCTACTGTCATATTTATAATAGTACAGTAGCATTAGGTATTATGTAAACGAAAAATGTGAGTAACTTTTAAAAAGCATGTGGCCGCGACATCAACATGCCCCACATATAATATAACATAGAGGAAATAGTCACTCCCCTCCTTAAGAGATGGCGCTACCGGCGCTGCGTTCACAACGTATAGAAATGCCTACATCGCGCAAGAGGAATTCGGAGCCAAACACTCCATATATACGATGCCCGACCACCATCAGTCGGGCCGCGGCCCCCGAGCTACCATCATCCAGCTCGGAGGAAGATCTTCCCCTTGGGCCTTCCTACAAGCTTAATGTTAGGTACCTATTTATAGAGGAAATTATTTTACCTGACACAGTCTTTACAATGACTTCTTCATACGTATCTCCCTTCTTGAAGATGCCTTTGTATACTCTCCCGAAGGTTCCCTCATGGACCAATATCTCCAGACGTATATTTGATCTGGCTGTAGTTAGCAGGTGGAGCTGCTCTGCTGGGTCTGTCACCCGATCTTTCGTCGCAGTTTGCTGGAACAAAAAGACATCGTTCGATTTCTTCTGCTAAGTTATCTTAGCTAATAACGAAAATTTATCTAAAGGCAGTATATTTTTGTAAACTTCGTTGCTATTCATTGAATGTTGTGGAGTGTTGTTCTAGAAATTTCTTTTTTGGCAGATGAAAAATATCTTTAACGTAGCTTTTTTTTTATTTTATTGACAAATATTCACCAACAACATTATAATTTTACATTAGAATTTGAAAAAATATATAAATACCATACTTAAATATATGCTTTTTAATAGGTGAAACAGCATTCACATAAATACAAATAAACTATAATGACAAATTAAACAAACAAAAAATATATCCACCATCATGAAAAACAGGTACACTGAATTATAATATTATTTAGTCTGTGTTACAGTCCAATTTTATTTTATTTTACTTTAGTAGCTATAAACAATTTGGAATGGATCAAAGTTTTGTATATTTGAGACGACCTCCGTGGCCGAGTGGTTTGTGATTATCGCCGGGTTTCATGGCATCGCCGACTCGAGAGGTCCCGGGTTCGAATGAACACGAGCATATTTGTACTCTAGTCATGGATGTTTAATATGTATTTCTACATAAATATACTTATATATGTAAGGTATATGTATTCTATCCGTTACCCTAGTATCCCATAACACAAGCCTTATAAATAGTTGGATGCACAATATAAATAAATAAATTATTTATATTGTACATCCAATTTGAAAAGCGAAAGTTTGATTTTGACTATGAGTTTCAAAGTTCCAAGAGATATAGAAATATTTTATTTCCAATCTTCCATCGCCCAGTAACCGTTAATAAATTCTCTAAATATCTGTTAAATTTATTTGCTGCACCATTTGCATTTAAAATGAGAATAGAAACACAAAATTCATGTAGGTACGGTAAAACAGAATTTTGTAAGCAAAGCACACGACGATTAGATGTTATTAGAGCAATTTACGCTTCATTTACACGCCTCTGTTCATTAACACCTCCCCTCTATGCAGCGAGGTGTATTTCATAAGTTCGCCTGAAGAATTCCGACGATCCGCCAAATTTATGTACTGTGGGGGTACGAAATTAAAAAAATGTTCCCCGCCAAGCTTAATAATTAGCTCAGGAATTAAATTACCTGGATGTGGCTTGCTTTGTTGCTTTAATGTAGCGTATTAATGTAATACACATTTCTCAGGAGAGAATTGACGCATTTAAAAATTTATTCTACATTGATTTTCCGTCGAAAAATTTGCAGATAGATTTAAAAATACGGCTATACAGGGTGTAAAAAAAACCTATGACAAAGACTAAAACGACGCATTCTGTACACTCAAACAAGTAATATTACAAGATAATATACGTGGGAATCATTTGTATCTTTATGTTAAAGGATTTCTTTTTCAGTACGCAATGTATAGCGCGGCGCGGTACTGTGACACTACGCGAAGAATGGGCCTGTGTGTAAGTGTGCGGATAGAAATGTTTGTAAATAACGTTTTTAAAATATTAATGTTGAAAAAAATGTGACTTTGACCTTCAATATCTGCATAACCGTAAATTTCCCAGGTATGGTCCAGAAGAAAAAAATGATCGTCATGATGTGGAAAATACGTGGCCTTCGGCTTCGTTAAAGGATTTTTTACAACCTGTATAAGGAGTTAGGTACTTGGCGACAAATAAAAGTAACTACAGATTTTTTTATGACAGAAACCCTTTTTTTACTTGATATTATTTTTTAAACTTGTACTAGATTGACCTAGTTGATTGTTTTCATCGCTTACCATTTTTTATCATTATGCCTTTTTTCATGTCTCTTCTAGTAAGATTAAAGATCTTTGATCAATACTCTACCGTAGAAGATCGCTAATTGCATTACGTTTGTATCACCTGAAGGGGGTCCGTAACTCGTTTCAAATTGGATCCTTGATGAGGCAAAGGACTCATTTTATGCACAATTCAGTCTTTCTTCGGAGAAAAAAGACTTGTGCAAATCGGCCTCGGACAATCCCGAGAATCTTAACGAACGCCCATTAAGTTGGATCAAAGGCTTTTTTATGAATTCATTATTAAAAAAAAAGAATACAAATTTGTTTAATTGTACCTTTTGTATAGTAATTCAATTAACAACATTAAAAAAGTTTTAATTTGTTTCGAGAGAAACGCCGAATTAAATTGATTGAAAATATAACTGTTCTTTTACAAATACATAATCATATCTGAAATTTTTTTAAGTTATTATTTAACCCTTTTCTTGGTAATGTGCATTTAGAGATACAATGCAATACCAAAATATGGGGGCGAAACCTAAAACTATTTAACATTTTTTTTAATAAAACGTTAGCCACAATACTACAGATTGTGTAGAGTCTGTGCGGAAAGAGAATGGGATTTACATTGGAGGGCGCTGTAGTGCTTTTCTACCGTATTTGTAAGGTTTTACCCCTTTTAAATATGATTAAATACAAAAAACCGCAAGAAATCACAACAACAAACAAATCCGTATCAATACAAAACTTTGACGTTTTACAGATTGCTGGGTTTGATTGCCAATTAAAAATCATAATGCTAGTTCCGTTTTTCGCCACGCCCATTCTCTTTCCGCACAGACTCCAACGCAGTATAAATTCACCACTGTAAACACAGATTTTACTCGTACAGTAGCACACAAAAAGGCGAAACATCGGCCAGTCATTTACGCACCAGCATTTAATTTTTTATCGATTTCAGTTGTAATAATGGTGATTGCTTGTAGTTATATGGATAGTAAAGAATATTTTCTTGATAAAGTTGCTGTTTTTTCATTCCAAAAATGTATATATTACTCTATGCGATGCTGATTATCCGAATGTATCTTGAAATGCACGTTGCCTGATATGTAATCAATTACTTCCAATTTTGAATCTATAAGGACACCTTAAATTTATTTATTTTTTAGGTTCTCCTTAAATTTATTGTATGATTTTTGTTTGTTGACTATATTGCATAAAAAAGAATAACCTAGTTAATTAGTAATATTTATGACGTTATTTTTTTTTTTTTTAACTCCACCTGTATATTTATCCATATAAGTGTATGTTCTATTCTATCTAATTTTGAAAACAAAAGCAGTTGACGTCACGTCTGGAAACACAGTTGTAAATAAAACATATACAGGAACAATGAAATAAACAAATACATAATCATAATTGAAAATGTTTAAAGTTATTATTTAACCCTTTTCTTGGTAATGTGCATTTAGAGATACCTACAATGTAATACCAAAATATGGGGGAGAAACCAAAAACTATTTAACACGTGTTTTTTTTAATAAAACGTTAGCCACAATAATACAGATTGTGTTACGAATTATAGATTCACCAATGGAAACACAGATTTTACAGTAACACACACAAAGGCGAATCATCGGCAGGATTATTATTGACTTTAAATTATATTACGATGTATCAAAATCGTTATAAAGATTTGTTTGTTTTTCTAGCCAATTTTATGGTGCAGCAACAAGACTTGTACAAGTTATTTTTGATTAAGTTGCTCCTGTATCTACTGATATTTGTGTTTTATATTTCTTGTGTCCTTTGTTATCACCTTAAAACATTAAACCTCAAAAAAATTAAAATAAACAAAAAACGCGGGGGCCAAGTATGGGGTTAATACGATAAACAATATTATTTTAATATACCAAGACCAAAATAATATTTTCATGTTACAAAAAGTAAGTTTTTGACGTGACAACGTCTTAAATTAGGTTGCGGCTGGGAGTCACTTATGAAAAAGTGTAACGCTCGGTAACGTTACGATGAGTCTCTCGTGTTAAGTTTAAGTTTACATGTACAATGTTTTAGTAAACAAAATATATTTCTATAGTTAAAATTTGTGCAATTCTTATTTTCATTCAATTCCTTGTTCCTATTGTGCAATTTAATTATATTCATATCAATAAATATTCTACCGAGAAAAAGACGTTGTCACGTAAAATCTTCGCCCGTAAAACCGACTTTACAGGCAACCATTTTTTATGTTACTAAACAATAATAAAAATAATTTTAGCCCTTTAAATAAATAATTATCATGTTGGGTTCTACTAACCAAAGATCAGTTAAACCACTGTATGTACGTTAGTTAATCAGTCTTTGGCGGTCGACGTATTTAGTTTTGTGGTTCAAGTTACGACAAATAGCGAAATTAAAATTTAATTTGTTAAAAATCTTTTTATTTCAAGCATTGCCCTCACATATAGTGTAAGTTTATCAGTTTTAAGTTTCACTGTGGCAATCAACACTAAGAACAATGCCCACTCTCCATACATTTGAAAATCTGATAGTGAAAGTTAATGTATAAATATAAAGTAAACTGGAAAGATTACATATAAATTAAGAAAATGGTATCCTTTATTCATTTTTACGATTTAAACGCAGGAAAATTAAAAAAAAATATATGAATTATTTTTTAGATTAATTTATTTTTTTGCTCTGACAACACTGAAGGTTCAGATGTTCTTTTGCATTATAAGTAATTTATTTTGTTAATTTATTCACGACAAATTACATAAAAAGATCAACAAATTACATAAACAGATATTTCGATCAAATTAAATGACAAAATGCAGTGCAATGCATGTAATATAATTGATAGCATATGTAAATCCATTTTTTTAAATATTTGTACACATTGCTAATAAAAACTTTTCACTTAGAAATCAACTTTCTTTAAAACATACCTAATATAAAATTAAGCAGCATTTTGAGACTACAATGACATTAAATATTTCCAACACTCACACCAATTAGCCTAGCCCTAAAGTAAGCACTGTAAGGCATTATGGGATACTAGGGTGACGGATAGAATACATATACTGTACATATATAGGTACGTTTCTATAGAAATACATATTAAGGAACCATGACTGGAGTATAAATGCTAGTATTCATCACAAAAACATCTGCCCCCACTGGGATTCGAACCCGGGACCCCTTTTTGTAGGCGGCACCATTAAACCCGGTCTACAAACCACTCTTCCACGGTGGTCGTCATTGCCAGAAGACTTTACCTACAATGCGAAGAGATGGCGCTGCCTTGCAGCTTAAGGCTAGGAAAATTTCGACGCGGCCGTGAGTGCCGTGGTAGCATAATTGGTCAGTGCATTCGCCCGGATTGCGAAGGGTGCGGGTTCGAGTCCCGTCCGCTGCCTGGTCCGCGTGGTTTTTTTCTAGTAAAACTTTTCTTTAGATTTTTATAAAAATAAATAAAAACATAACTAACTATAACTTTATTTAAATAGCAAAACAATGCAACCACAATGCAATGCAATCATTATCTTCTATCTATCATGTATAGCTAGCTACACCTACAATGTGAAAAAACGGTCAAAATTTTAATTTTCCTTATTAATCTTGATACTCGTAAAATCTTTTAACTTAGACCCGACCAACTTTCCGGGCAAGCTAACTAAAATTTACTACTACTCCGTACTAATTTATTAGACAACTAATTCCATACCCCCATGTGTGGTGCCAAATGCCCTCAGAGGTCGTGAGGTAGGTTAAGTGCTTGGGATTTGGGAAGTAACAGGTCTCATAAACTAATTATAGCCGGGTACTTAATTACATGGTAATTCCAAATATCCTTGAAAGCAGTTTTAGTAAGAAAGGGTACGAATATGTTTGCAAATATCTTCATATATAAAAAGTGTACAGAACGAAAGAAATTTGTCATATACTAACTTAAGTTTAATCTCTAGATATATAAAAAAATGTCGCTCGCGGTGTCTGTACTCTTAGCTACGCAACGAAATTTAATGCAGTTTTAAGAAATAGAGAGAGCAAAAACTATAGTCTTCACCGAAGCGAAGCCAGGACGGGTCACTAGTAAATGTGTTTGCATAAATTATTTATAAGAAGAACTAGCGGCCCGTCCCGGCTTCACACGGGTGTATTAAATACTATGTAAATATAATGAATCAGCATTTATATCTAGAATACAAAGAAACGCATCGCTTAGGGAACCTCGGTTTTCATTCTACGGCATTCAATTTTCGATTTTTTTAAATTTTCGAATACTGCTTACGTCCCGTTCTATTGTGTCTTGCGCTTGTTTTTTTTTTTTAATATTGTATTGGTTCTGAAATGAGAAAGTCTGAAGCCACTTTTTTTATAATTATTTATATAGGTATGGAGCATTACAATGTCACCATCCGTATATTGAATATCTATAGAAATACCTACTATATAGCTGTCCCAGCGAACTTCGTACCGCCATAAAAAATAGGGGTTGGTGGTAGAAGGGTGAAAATTTAGGGTTGTATGTATTTTTGTATGATGATGGTCCAAAAAAAATTGTTTAAGTAGGGACCACCCTTAACATTTAGGGGGATGAAAAATAGATGTTGTCCGATTCTCAGACCTACTAGATATGCATATAAAATTTTACGAAAATCGGTCGAGCCGTTTTGGCTAATAGTTAAAACTGTCTTTATCAGTTATTATTAATAAAATGTGAAAAAATAATTATTGCACTGAAAATTAATAATAAATTCACGATGAGAGTAAAATTAACGTAATAGATGCACAGAAAAATTAAAATAATACGGTTAAGTCACTGCTACGATCGACACACAAATGAATCCAAAAAAAATGGCCGAAAACTGTATATTGAAGAAGAAAGGAGACCGGCTTCCTTCTCATTCCTACTCCGCGATGTTTGCTGGATGAGAGGTGACCCATGTAGACATCTAGCGGGGATAATTGATCGATTGATCGTTGATCGGTTATCGACCGGTGAAGGCGGAAGATCAAATTGAATTGAGAAAAAAAAAGAAATTATTAAAAATAAAAATCGCGATGGTAAAATAGGGGTTGATTGTAAAGGGTTGAAAATTCAGGGTTATATGTATTTACTAATGCTGTATCATAATTTTTTTTTATCTAAAATTGAAAAAAAAATTTAGTTGTGGATTACCCTTAACATTTAGGAGGATGAAAAATAGATGTCCGATCTGTCCCAGCGAACTTCGTACCGCCATAAAAAAATAGGGGTTGGTGGTAGAAAAGTGAAAATTTAGGGTTGTATGTATTTACTAATGCTGTATCATAAAAAAAATAATAAAAAAAAATATCTAAAATAGAAAAAAAAAATTTAGGGATGGATTACCCTTAACATTTAGGGAGATGAAAAATAGATTACATCCGATTCTTAGACCTACTGAATATGCATATAAAATTTCACGAAAATCGGTCGAGCCGTTTCGGAGGAGTTTAACCACAAACACTGCGCGTATATATTAGATAAATAAATAAAATCAGTGCATCTAAACCGTTGAAACTTGTTTTATTTATAAGAAGAATTTAGTTAAATTTCTATTAGCTGAAGAAAAAAACAGGCGTAAGAAGATCCATAAAATTCGAATCATCTATATGTATATAAAACTCAAAAGTGACTGACTGACATAGTGATCTATCAACGCACAGCCCAAACCACTGGACGGATCGGGCTGAAATTTGGCATGCAGGTAGATGTTATGACGTAGGCATCCGCTAAGATTGGGGATAGGATTTTGATCAATTCTACCCCCAAGGGGATAAAATAGGGAATGAAAGTTTGTTTGAAACTTTGTCAATTTTAAACCGATCGGGCTGAGACTTTACATGCAGGTATAAGAAAAATCATAGATGAATGTCATTGTGCATAATACAAGCCTGAGAACAAAAACTGTAGTCTACACTTCAGCTCTACACCGGAGCGTAGCGAGGGCGGGCCGCTAGTTTTGTATAATTTATGTTTTACTTACTTGAGAGACGTGCGTTAGATTTGATGCGGCATAATATGATACTCTCGACTCCGGCTTAGCATATATATGCTCTCCTATATGTGTAGTAGCATAGGGCGAGGGTGACCTACGGCTTCCTGTGAAAACAAATCACGTTTGAATATTCCGAATCACCAACATCATTATCAAGCAACTTACTAGATATATTTTGCAGTGATCTAAAGACCCTTAAGTATATTATTTATTAAAGGACAATAATATAGAGCACGCACAACGATATTAAACAGCCTAGATACACCAACACGAACAAAATCGTGCCCGAAACCTGTCCAAACGTAAATTGACCGATCCACGGAGCTCCGTAAGATGATCACGTAGTCAAAATCAATATAAGGCATTATTTAAATATTGAGAGTAACCTATAATACATACTGCATAAGTTCTTAAATAAAACGAATGCGTCAAGGACTTCTGACAGTTCGAAATGCAAGCTCGTAAAATTTAACGACTTATTGCTATATGCGGAAGAATTTAGACCTTAGTTCTTTGACTCTACGCGCAATTCTGCACGGCAATATAGCAGGCACGGACCGAAAGGAAAAGAGACGGCTATATGGCGACGTATAACCGACCATGCATTTGAATATCACAAATATTTTATATTAAATCAGTTTATAGTAAGTATTAGATGAAAATTTACTTCAAATGCGTTAAATTAACAAACATTGACTAGATACCTGTCGAAAAAACGACACTTTTCGTACTCTAAGTATTATTTTCGCATTTTTTTCGCGGAGCTCTGTGGCCTCTTGACTTTGTAACGGTCCGCGCGTGACTGTGAACCAAGAAGTGCTTCAGTGGAGTTCAAGCACTTCTTGATTGGGACACATTTTGAGCGCTCGTGGTGTATCTAGGGTATTTAATATCCTTGAGCACGCAATAGAGTAAATTTAAGTATCAAGTCCCTAGTACTGACGAAACGGCCGCAAATAGGCGTATGGGGATCTCGCGAAGAAGCCGTTGCTTTCAAATTTCAAAAAACTAGCACTTCAATATTTCAGCAATATGTATTGGCATTAAGACTACTTTTTCACATACCGAACGGGAATTTGTGTAGACTAGCTATAGTGGCGTAAGATCCCGTTGAACTGGGAGGTCTTCCAAGAGTGTCCAATCTTAGAAGCACATTCTGGTGACTGCCATAAGCTGCGGTTGTGTACGAAGTGCTAGGGGATAACAAAAAATACCATTAATGACGATACGATAATATACTCAGCTCATATAACGATAAGGCTGTACATTATATATTAATCTACTCTAAGAACATCCACAACTAATGTTAGAATTACCAGTAATAGCAGAAACAGGTGTAATATGGACAAAATAAGTAACAAACAAAATGAGAGGCGGAAAATTACAGTAGTTTATGCATGATCTTAAATTACAAAGGATCCTATTTTAGAATATGATTCTTTCATAATACATAGGAGACGCTTTAAATAAAGACTAAAATCCCGTCATACGAGGTTTCCGTGCTACAGCATAATATGTAATAATGTATATTGTTAGTATTTTGGATAAATAAATAAATAATCATCTTAGGTAAATGGTAAGCATACCAGATATCAAATAGTATGATGTACCAAAACCAAAATAACCTTCAGAAACAAACAGTAACTTCAAATCAATCAATAACTCATCAGAATAACAGCCTACCTAACTGCCTCAAGTCCCAATAATTTAAAAAAGATAAGCTATTCCGAAAAACAAAGAAATTAAAAACGTATTTCCTTTGTCTATCAATAAAACCTTTGAACCAGATCATCCATCAAACGTGACAGGAAAGGGTTGTTCCCCTTTATCGTACGCGTGTGGTGCAAGTTATAGGTGCAAATTTTAAATAACAATTTTCAAGGACATTATTTATTATAGCTGTTAACCTACTTCTTATTGTACACGCACCCATGCGCATTCACACACACCCATACGAACACACACACAAACACACGACACACACAGGACATGTCCTAGTTTGGGAGTTTGACACTCACATTGTGTTGAAAATATTAAATGTAAGATGCACATTGTAAAACTAAAGCCAATGTATCACTTTATTCTTGTTAAATAAATATATTATTATTAATAACGGGATTGTTACCATGTACCTTGTTATTTATTAGTCTCCGATATTTCTGAATGCCAGTAACATCTACCTTTCTGCCTACATTACTTTAGTTAATCCGTGATCATAGCGCTTTCAACAGTGCCGAAATATCGAAGACTCATAAATAACAAGGTACATGGTAACAATCTCGTTAATAGCTATAATGTTAGTGACCATGAAAGTATAAAAACAATATATTAATAATTTATATTACCAACACTTAGGAAATCGGAAAATAATTAAATTTTGGCAAACAATACCGTTTCATAATTATTCTTACAACTTCTACCTGTTTAATAAAATCTATAAAGGTAAAAACATATTACCTGTTTATTTAATTTTAACAGAAAAAAATACAGACACATTCTGATTTTTTCCTCTAACAACTTCTAAACTTTAATGTTTAATATTGCCTACAAAGCAACAACTAAACAATACAAAAGAAAACTTACAAATATAAAAGCAATTATTGCCCACTCGTGACTTGGACCAAACATACGAATAAGGTCAATGCAAGCGCTTCATATTGTGCGGAAATTGAGGCATTCTAACATTTTTCACAAAGGCTTCAACGCTTTAGATTTATTATGTTCATCACCTTTAAATGTAATGATTGATTCGTTTAGTGCTCGCATTGTCGGTCTGGGTCTTTTGAGAGCCACATAAAAGAGAAATGATATGAACAATTCATATGAATTCACTAGGAATGCTTACAAGCAAGCATTCAAGAGCAGATCTTCCCGTCAAATTTAACCGTCTGGGCAAGGAAGTATTTGAATAATTGTCTGTAAGATGGAGTCAGAACGTTTCCCGAGTCCCACGGGATAGAGAAATAATATTCATTTATTTAGACTTTATTGCCAAACGTTTGCCAAATAAGCAAACGGTGGACTTATGGTATTTTGTGGTTACTAAATCCGAATCTGGGGTCAGATTTGGGATTGCAGTTCACTTAAAGGACCCACAAGGAAAGGATGAGGGGCCAGTTACCTAAAAATATTATTTTTTCTTAATTTTTCTCATAAATCCAATTTCGATATGAGATCAAAAATGCATTCATTCGTGAATAATTAATAAATGAAAATTAATTAGTATTTCACTGGTGTACGTTTAGTTATAAAATTCAAGACGAAAAGCGAAAATAAACAAATTATTAATTATTATAATCGAAGAATTACGTAAACAGTTACGTTGTTACTTAACAAACAAACGAAACTCAACAATAATATTTAATTCGTTTAAAATAATAACAGCCGTGTTATTTTATTTACCATTCTCCGCGAGGCTCAATTTATTAAGCTAATTTACATTTTAATTAGAGCTTATTAAAACACATTACGAGAAAATTTGTGTCGAATATCTATACAATACACACACGTTACACATTTTACAGACTTCTCTCAAACCTTTCGTTGTTTCCAGTGTATATTTGTGTAGTTAAATCTTTTTTGAAGTTTTATTTCTGGTTTATCATAACCTTTCCGTGAATTATTAATTGCATGTTTTAAAACATTTAAACTACCAATAGCATTGGGTTTGGTCGCTCTCTTTTGTGATACTTCTCCTGGCGTTGCACTTTTATTGGGATTATCCATATATTCTGAGTTAATTAGCTGCAAATCTAAGCCATTTTACTAATTCTTAAAGCGAAATAGGAAGGGAATGGATTCTTCACGTAAATCTTCCATTTCGCACTTTTGTGAGATTTTTCAGATGAATATGGGTATATTCAAGTAAAAAAATCCATTACCTTACTTTACACATTTATTGTATTCACTGTTTTTGTTCCAATAAAATATATTTCATTTCATTTCATTTCATTTTTCGCCTTAAGAGTTATTAAAATGGCTTAGATTTGCAGCTAATTAGCTCAGGATATATGGATACGGCATATCCCAATAAAAGTGTATGTACTCTTAGAAGTAAACACACTTAGCTACTAAAAGTATCAAGACTACCAAACTATAGTAAGATTCTTCTTTCTTTGTTTATCACAAAACTACCGTTATATTACAATAATAAATGGTGAGCTGGTCACATTAGCCGCAGAACTGACGGCCGATGGAGCCGTAAAGTTCTTGAGTGGAGACCGCGACTCGGTAAACGTAGTGTGGGACGCCCTGAGACAAGATGGGATGATGACATTCGTAGGCTGGCTGGAGTGGGCTGGATGAGAGTGGCAGAAAATCGGAAGCAGTGGCGCGCATTAGGGGAGACCTATGTCCAGCAGTGGACGAGCATGGGTCGATGATGATGATGATGAATAAATAAAATAAATCATATTAGTTCCGTACTTACTGTATAAGCTGGAAGCGATTGTAGCAGCCACCGGCGGCAGTACTAACTACAAAAAACACTCCGCTGGATTCTTCCAGCCAGGATACCCGATAATCTGCTGTTTCATCGTAAGTCACGAAATACTGTATATAGTAATGGTATCTCACCTTACTGCCCCTCTTGTACAACACATTAGCAGCAGCCAGCAGTGCTAATGCTGTGGTTCCACTTAAACCAGCTATTAGCAATACTCCACTGAGTTCCATCGTCTAATGTTTGTTTGTTTCATTGTTAGTCTCATACTTACTGTATAGAGTCGTCTCTCCCTCTTATACAGCACGTTGGCAGCAGCCCCAGCAGCCGGCAGAGCTAATGCCTTGATTCTGCTTACATCAGCTACAAGCAATAATCCACTGGGTTAAATCAGTACAAACGTATTGGTTATTTGTTAGTCTCATACTTACTGTATATGTCTTACACAGCACGCTGGCAGCAGCCCCAGCAGCCGGCAGTGCTAATGCGTTGATTCTGCTTATACCAGCTACAAGCAATACCCCACTGGGTTCCACCAGTCCAAACGTACTGGTTATTTGTTAGTCTCATACTTACTGTATAGGGTCGCGATGTCTTGCCATACTTCCTCTCTTACACAACACGTTGTCAGCAGCCGCAGCAGCCAGCAGCGCTAATGCGGTGATTCCGCTTACACCAGCTACAAGCAATACCCCACTGGGTTCTACCAGTTCAGCCGTAATTTAATTTCTTTGTTCGTCTTCTACTTACTGTATAGAGTTGTGATGTCTCGCCTTGCTGCATCTCTTACACAGCCGCAGCAGTCAGCAATGCTAATGCGTTGATCCCGCTTATACCAGCTACAAGCAATACTTCACTGGGTTCTACCAGTTCAACCGTAATATTATTTATTTCTTCATCTCGTACTTACTGTATAGAGTCGTGATGTCTCGCCTTATTGCCCCGCTTATAAAGCACGTTGGCAGCAGCTGCAGCAGCCAGCAGTGCTAGAGCGGCGGCCGCACAACCACCAGCTACGAACAATACGCCACTGGAACCCCGCGAAGCATCACCAGCTAGCCGGGCGGTCTCATTGTGAGTCACTATCGAAGAAAGACCTGGTGACAAACGTTGATTTACATCATTACTAGCGACCCGCACCGTTTCGCACGGATATTAACTTAAAAAAAAAATATCTAAAGAAAATGTAACTAGAAAAAAATCCACGCGGACCAGGCAGTAGACGCGACTCGAACCCGCACCCTTCGCAATCCGGGCGAATGCACTGACTAATTATGCTACCGCGGCCCATAATACTCGAACCCGCATCCTTCGCAATCCGGGCGAATGCACTGACCAATTATGCTACCGCGGCCCATAATTGGTCAGTGTATTCGCCCGGATTGCGAAGGGTGCGGATTCGAGTCCCGTCTGCTGCCTGGTCCGCGTGGATTTTTTCTAGTTACATTTTTTTAGATTTAAACATTAAGCAGTTATATGCTTAAAAAAAACAAAAAAAGTTTTTTTAATATGCGTTTACAGTGTCGAAATATCAGAGAATCGCTAAAAACAAGATACATGACGCAAAATCCGCTATGCGTTATCTCTCTTTATTTCCTGTCCTGTAAGATTCAATCTCACTTAAGATCTCATTTATTCGGATTTTTGACAACTGTCAAATATCTTATACTGGATACTTCTTGCGAGCGACATTTTGCCATGTCATGGCGTAATGCATATCAAACGTATGTCTTAAATGGCAATTACCGAAATCGGAAGTGAGACTTTATTTCACAGAATTACTATAGCTTATTTGTTTCTTAGGTTTTCACGCTCATCACTCATTAAATAAAACTAGTTTTTAACGGGTTAATGCACGAAACTTTATTTATTTATTGACGTTTTCGTTTCTGCTATAGCTTCCTTTTTTGTGTGTGTTTTCCTGTGGAACATAGCAGGTGCGTGAAGGAGTTTCTTCAGAATCTGCAATACCTCTATACACTATGAATTTTGAGTTACTTGAAAAACTTTACTAGCTATTTCAGACAGGTTACATTTCCGACAAAATAAAATCTTTTCTTATTATTTTATTCGAAAAATGTCTCCACGTTAAGTCTAGAGTAGTTCGATGGCGCAAGTGGTTAGCGCGTTCGGCTGCGATTGTTGAACTTTCGCAGTGGTCGGTCATTGGATGGGTGACCAAAAATTACTATCTCGAGCTCCTCCCTGCTTCGTGAGGCACGTTAAGCCGTTGGTCCCGGCTGCATCTGCAGTCATTAGCACCCACCAATCCGCAGTGGGCCCGCGTGGTGGGTCATGGCCCAATCTCCCTATTCCATCCATAGGGAAGGCATTTGCCCCAGCAGTGGGAACATTAATAGGCTGATGATGTTGAGTCTCTAATTTTGCAATTGTGAAATTGTAACAATTTTAATTGTTATAAAGGACAATGGGCAAAATTGCATGGACACTGCACCCACGTCCGCCACGGCTTAAACTACATTTGTTTGAAAGGTATCATAGTCATGATCATTTGTGCCAAAGCGCATCAAATTCCATCCCGGGAGTCTTTAGTTATTTTAAGTTAAATAAGTACAATTCCATAGGTAAAAGTAACTATAACGAACATAATATTTAAAGATACAAGGACGAGTATATAGAACGGATATATTAATTGACGACCACGGAGGTCGTCAATTAATATATCTGAGTCGAGTGGTTTGTACGCCGGGTTTCATGGTGTCGCTGGCTCGAGAGGTCCCGGGTTCGAATCCTGGTGGGGGCAGATGTTTGTGTGCTGAGTACGAGCATTTAAATTGATCCACAGATTTTTTATTAGCTCGTACGATTATAATGACGTACGCGATGATAATCGTGTTCCTATTTCTAAAGCGTGTTAGTTAAATATCAATGAAATAACAGGGAGCGCACAAAATGTAAGACATAGGACTGCATACGAGTAGACTAGTTGCAACGGCAACTGCAATATCACATCCTTCAACCCCCATACCCTGTTAGACGTTTTGAGGAGTATCAGTAAGTGCAAGCAGCAAGCAAGCAGGATAGTCGGTAGGCTTTGTTGTTTAGTATTTTGTATCTGGTTGTACAGTAAGATATGATTCACTCACTTATTATTGCTAATGTTATAAAACGAAAGTACTATTGATACTGAATGAATTTCTTTAGCTATTTAAATATCATCATCATCAGCCCATTAATGTCCCCACTGCTGGGGCACAGGCCTTCCCTATGGATGAAATAGGGAGATTGGGCCATGACCCACCACGCGGGCCCAGTGCGGATTGGCGGGTGCTAACGACTGCAGATGCAGCCGGGACCAACGGCTTAACGTGCCTTCCGAAGCACGTAGGAACTCGAGATAGATGTTTTTGGTCACCCATCCAATGACCGACCACTGCGGAAGTTGCTTAACTTCAACGATCGCAACCGAACGCGCTAACCACCTGCGCCATCGAGCTTCTCTATAAGGAGCTATTTAAATATGCCCGTGTGTAACCGGTCCCCATGACTTACACACAAAGGTCGTCTATAAGGACTATGTGCGGAAACCTTAACCCCTAATATAGAACATACCCAGGTGTATATCTTTTGACCCCCAGGTTATTTTTTTTTGGTGCCATAATAAAAAAGGCTAGTTTTTCATAGATCTATCGATTCATACTAATTACATTGTTGGCGGAGCTGGGTGCGTTTTGCCCATTGTCCTTTATTCCAACAAACCTACTCTTAGAATCTACGTACTTTAAATGAATGACATTTCCATTATAGCAATTTATTTACAAACATGCGCCGTTTTAGGATATTTTATAGCCGATATCAATCAATATTTTCGTATGGGGGAGTAGTACTTTTACTGTTGATAACCGTTCGCACTATTTTTATTTACTAAATTTTTAGGTTTCTAAAGTAACTTTAAATTCACGGTGTATATCTTTATCCATAGGCAAAGGTAAGCGTTTACTTTCAAATCAATTATTTGCAAAAAACAAATTTGGAATGGTTAGGGAATAATTTTGCACGAATTTCTTTAATTATCAGTATAAAAGTACTATCATTTATGTGGTAGAATACAATATTTATTTATTGCGCTATCGTACACAAACATGACAATTTATATTACATTAAAAAGTTTATCTCTCAGAATTACTCATTTAAGCGCACCTAGCGACATCTATTGTAAAAAAATGCATTTTCTTCGCAATAAAGCTGCCACCTGGACGTCCTAGATACAGAATTATAATTATAATACGATAAAATAATATATTACTATGATTCGTCCAATATATTGAAAGTCAACAACCTTTCCGATTGTATTGTGTGTCATGATGCGATCAGCCCACGTGTTTAACCTGACGCGAGTTTATCATTTTTTACCCATACGAAAAAAAGTGTACAACGCCGCTAAAGAGTTTTCACTTCAGTAAAACTCGGTTGAGCGCTGTGTGCTAGAAAAAGTTCACTATGGTCTTCTTTTTCAAAGCTGACTATTATAGTAAGGTAGTATGTAAATCCTAATGTTTTATGATCATTATATTTAACAGGATCTTCATAACCCTTACAAAACTTAAATCAAAGTCGAGAGTTGTTATCATTAATTGCACTTGTTATAATAATAAGTCTCTTAAAAAGTTTTTTAATATTAATAACAAAGCAATTACAGCATAACTCAAACAGTACTGAAAATCAATTTAAAGCGAGCACTTGTAAGTTTATTCATCCGAGACACGCTCGCGAAGAACAGTTTAAGCCATTGGCTCGATATAAAATCCCTTTTTCGCGCTTAATGATATTGGATGAAACCCACTAAATGAAATATTAAGGGTAATAGAAAGAAAAAACTTCCCAAGAAAGGAAGGGGAGAAGGGAAGGTGGATAATATCGATATAATACGCTCAGGTACTCGGCTGAACCTTTTATTAAATACCCCCTATGTCCCCCTTTTAAATAATATCTGAAGATATTTCAAAGATTAGCGTAAGAAAATATTAAAATGAAAAAGTTCCGATTAAGATTCAGTGAATTTTCGATATGAAATTTGTGCGATTCAGAACCCCTTTTTTATATTTTTTTCAGGTTTGTTTTTAAACTGTCCATAAATGGTACAATTGATTTCTTGATTTGAGTAAAAATCCATAGGTTCTGTAAATTACTTGGAAATTTTAAAACTATAATTTTTATTTTTTTGAAGCATGTAACTGCTTGATCTTTAAATCTAAAGAAAATATAACTAGAAAAAAACTAGCTGCCTGGTCCGCGTGGAATTTTTCCTAGTTATATTTTCTTTAGATTTAAACATCAAGCAGCTACATGCTTTAAAAAAATAAAAATTATAACTATAATTGCTATTTCTTCTTTCAAATGTTTTATACTTGTAAAAGTATTCATTTGACATTGAGGGTTACCTATAATGCGATGAGATGGCGCTGCCTTGCAGCTTAAGAATAGCTAGAGGAATATCGACGCGGACCGTGGGGGCCGCGGTACCATAATTGGTCAGTGCATTCGCCCGGATTGCGAAGAGTGCGGGTTCGAGTCCCGTCTGCTGCCTGGTCCGCGTGGATTATTTTCTAATTTTAAAACTGTTTAAATTTTAGCGATTTATTTTTTACCTACTAAATAAAACTAATAGTAAAATTGAGTTTTTTTCTGTTTTAATTTCATCCATATTGTCCGCACTGCTAAGGTGCTGGTCTTTTTAATGGATGATAACCTGCTCCTAATTAAAAGTATAAAGAAAAATTTAGATAAAAATATATGGTGATTAGTCAACTGTCATCAAACACAGCTTACACAAAAAAGGTATGCAACAATAAAACGCACTTAAAGCTCAAAAGGGAAACAAAATTTCCAAGTCAAATAAAAGAACAATAGCACAATCGATATTTCCTTGTAAACACATTAAGATGAGGGGCGAGAGTGCCTCCCTGAGGCACCCCTTACGTCTTTATGCCTCGCAAAATATCCTGTTGCGTCTACAAAACTGTGTCTACATGCTAATAAAGATTGGGGGAGTGATTTGTGGAGTGACTCAACTTTGACTAGCCATGTGATTAAGGTTCCGTTCCTCAAGTTTAAAAAACATCAAACGGATTTTAACATACAATTTAGGATTAGTAAAACATCATTATATTTATTTTTTACAGTTAATGATATAGATGCTGTCTTAAATAAAATAATGAAACAACAAAATTTAAGGTGGTAATATTCAAAGCAATAAATGTGTTGAGCTCATCAAAAGCTTAAGTAAGAAAATATAGTAAGGTGCCCATATCAGAAAAAACATTTAAACAATGATCACGTTTTTAATAAAATACGAGACCGGTATTTCATAGCTGACGCTACACATAATAAAATACTATCTACGAACTAGCGAAGTGAATCCCGCCAATTCAGTAGGAGTACTCAAAATTTATTGTTATTATTATTGTAGTAGACTCGGAAAGTGTTAGGGCGACGCTTTTATAGCTTTATATGGTTTTAGAATACCCTGAGTTGGTTGTGAAATGATTTGTCGATGGGGATTGTGGCAACTTTCACCATTTTTCAAGTATAACGATATTACTTATTTATTCCGAGCGTTTTCTTATTAAAACTTATCTATGAATCAATACTTGAATTATTTTATTTATTATTATTATTGTTTGATTGACACCGGTTTTATTTGGCATTGTTACAATAGTAATAACACAGAAAATGATATTTTTGTTATTTACCTAAGTTTCTAAAGGAGAACCATCACGTTTTATGGGGAGTTAGTACAGATACAAAGTTCTTTGTATATGAGCAAAATATATACCATTGTAAAGCTTATTGTTAATGTATACTGTCAGTTTTGAATTGAATTTCATAGCTTGTTGGGTTAATGAGAAATTTCAATTTGAATTAAATTAAAAATAAAAATATAAAAAGGGGTTTTCTGAAAAAATGTCAAATACCAACTCGTCAACTCAGGGAAACGACACAAAAAAGATATGTTGAGCATATTGCTAATAACTATTTTGGCCAAAGAACTCGGAAATATATAATACCAAGAATATTTAACAACATAAGCCTAACAATAGAAAAATGTAGAAGTAAACATATATTTAAAAGAAAATTAAAAAAAGATATTTTGGAAAAGTTTGATCAAGAGGACTTTGGTTAAGAGTAAGTATCCTATGTGCGAACCAGCGCATAGGATGCTTACTTTTGACCAGATAATGGTTTATCTGTGTGCGAAATTTTGTAAAAAATTGTAAAGTATTTGTATATTGGTGGTGGGTATATATATATATGCATATAGAAACAAAAAACAAAAAAATGTAAAGAGCGTAATATTCGTCAACAAACTGACATTTCAGTTTGGCGAAATAAGTTGTTTTTTGTATATCTGTATTTTAATGAAAATAAATAAATAAATAAAATAAATATAAAAAAAAAAATATGTAATCTACATAATAAAAAACATTTGGTAACTAATTTGGATCAAATAAATGTCTACTACAAAGACATAGCATTCAAAAATATTCTATAGTAGCAAGCACTACAATCAACATAAGGTTGACCAGATGGATAGTGAGTTTTTTTTATCGAAAATCTAGTCGTCAGTAACGAAAATCATCAGAAAATAAAAAAATCACAAAATCAAAGAAAGAATTGATAAAACAGAAAAAAAGCATTCGCATCGCAAGCGAAATGACAATTGCAATTGCCTGTCATAATACCATACCACTGACAGACACTGTCATTATAAGTTGTCATGTGACGTTAGTTACATCGCCGTTTAAAAATCGAATAGGTAATCGATGTTATATTTTATTAATAATGTCATATTTTGTCTGAGATTTAGAGTTATAAAACAACAATTCACACGTGTTTTTTTTCTTTCAAATTAATAACGTTGAAAACATTGGTTATTTGAGCAATTTAAACAGTACATACTTCAATAAACCATTCAACTCATGATTAGTTGAATCGATTGATTCCAATATAATAGCAAACTACGTTCCTTTATACGTTAAAGATTTTATACTATATATTGAGTTTCACGACTAGCTAAAAAAACCTTTTTATCTTATATTACTTACTTTTTAATGCTTAACATAAGATCAAAAAAATTTGTTTGTACAAGATCAGTACCAACATGGTTGTTCTACTTAATAAATATTTTCGTTCTTCGCTAAGAAGTCATTTGCGACCAAATTGTTCGCTATTTGCCTCCACACAGGAAAAGATAAACATTGCTTGGCTACAAGCCAAAGCGTATTGAAACTGCTTAGTCACTTAAAACAGGAATTGTGGAGGTTTAAGATATTCACTATGATAAGTACTAAAAGCAACCTCACGTTCCTCGCGACATTGTAGATTGTGCCAAATATTTTCATAGTTATATCATTCACTGCTATCAAACAAGAAATACCAAGTCGTTCACAAAAAGCACTTTGAGTAGTGTTTTAGAAAGGTATATATTAAGGTTTATGCGAAGACCATTAAATGCTTGCTCTTTGGAATCACAGTTTAATTCTTGGTTTAGAAATCCATGGAAGTTATTACAATATTCCATTTCATGTAATCCGTCTAAGTTTGAAGATTATGAACGTAAGTTATAATATCATTGTTCTATTTCTAGTTATTGTAATAGTAATTTGCGTTGATTTGAATTTTGACAAAAGTGAAGTGAACGCTATGTCTCTTACACATGTTCGTGCATAGAATTATGATAGCGATGATTCATAATTCACCATGAATATTGAAAAGGGTAGTACAAATGACAACAAGACGAGCACAGTATTGGTTGAATTTGGAACGAATGAAAAAGATTTTTATGACAACGACATAAGGTTGGAATTTAAATTCGTATGGCATCAGATTATAAACTGTAGCGTGGTTGTACCTGTCGAACCTTGATTGATTAAAAATCAGGTAACACGTGATTTATGTACACAACATACCTGGCACAGATTAGGGCTTAATGACTGCCGCAGGTACAATGATGGTTTCCATGGAAGTTTTATGTACATATACGCATGACACGATTTCTCTGTTAATGCAGATTAAATATATTTTCTAGTTCAAAGAAATATTCTTAATGCCAGATTTTGATCAGTACAACGCATGTTACACCCCAAATCTACTTGCTAACTACAAATTGGATTAGGGGATCTAAGATTGTATCAGAAAATAAAAGTCATCGTTAACTACCCAGTCTGTTGGAAGATCAATTGTAACAACGCGGGATAAATTTCTGTTCTTTCACGATTGAAGATAGGAATAGAATATAAATCCTTGACATGACATATAATCAAAAGCCGCTAAAATGTCCAAATGGATCTTTTGACAGAGCCTCGACTGTAGAACCATATTTAAATACAATATTAGGTAAATCATTGTATATAAATACGGGTCTGCAGTCGAGGCTCTGTTAGAAGATGCATTTGGACAAGAAACGGGACTCGAACCCGCACCCTTCGCTATCCGGGCCAATGCATTGACCATTATGTTACTGCGGTCCTATAATGGTCAGTGCATTCGCCAGGATAGCGAAGGGTGCGGGTTCGAGTCCCGCCTGCTGCCTGGTATGCGTGGATTTTTTTCCAATACATTTTTCTTTAGATTTAAACATCTAGCAGTTAAATGCTTATAAAATTAAAATTGAACTGCAATATACCTACCCCAACAGTCATTGTGACCCTGTCCAAACCGCCAGTTTCGTTTATCCATACCGAGTTGTCCATACTGGTATGAAGTAAGGGAAACATTTTCAATACATCCAAGGTTAATGCAAGAGCAGCCATACATGGACTGCTCGAACATTTTGCTAGTAATCAACATACATGGACCGCTCGAGCAGTCGGAGTCAACAGCTTGGAGCTGCCATTTCACAGCAACTGCCGATCGGTTCCATGTATAGTATGTTATAAGAAGGCTGTAGTCCATTACGCAGCCGCATTTTGAAGCAGCCATCCTCCTGACATACCCTGATCTTTGAATGAATTATGGGAATCCTAACTGATCATAGACCCCTAAACAAACACCTATATAAATAGGAGTAATAGACAGCCCCCTATGCAGAGGATGTATGGAGGTAGAAAAAAGGCCACAGCATGTCATCATGGAATGCAGGAGTGTGGCGGACCAACGGGCACGACTTCTCCAGTCGCCAGCATCACTTCCGTAAGCTTGCAGCAGTCTGCCAAGGCTGCTTTCCTTCTGGACTAACTTAAGCTGGCTGGAGTAAACGGGAATGTTTCGAGACACGCACAATGGTCCAATGATTAGGACTAAGTGCGGAAACCGCCATGAAAAACTAAACTATAACTAAACTAATAACCTGATTATGTTTTTATTTATTTTTAAGCACTTAACTGCTAGATGTTTAAATCTAAAGAAAATTTTACTAGAAAAAAATTCACGCGGACCAGGCAGCAGGCGGGACTCGAACCCGCACCCTTCGCTATCCTGGCGAATGCACTGACCATAATAGGACCGCGGTAGCATAATGGTCAGTGCATCGCCCGGATAGCTAAGGTTGCGGGTTCGAGTCCCGTCTCTTGTCCAAATCGATTTTCTAACAGAGCCTCGACTGCAGACCCATATTTAAATACAATGATTTACCTAATATTGTTTTTAAATATGGGTCTACAGTGGAGGCTCAATACAATGCGAAGAGATGGCGCTGCCTTGCAGCTTAAGGCTAGGAAAATTTCGACGCGGCCATGAGGGCCGTGGTAGCACAATTGGTCAGTGCATTCGCCCGGATTGTGAAGGGTGCGGGTTCGAGTCCCGTCCGCTGCCTGGTCCGCATGGATTTTTTTCTAATAAAACTTTTCTTTAGATTTATACCCTGATCTTCAGTCCATTAATACCCTGATCTTTAAGCAGTTCCTGTTTGTCTGCTTTAAGGCATCTAGCTTAATATGTATTGGCAAATCTCACCTTTCCAGCAAATCTTGTTCCTTTTAAACTGTAGCCTGACGTCCTTGTGGGCTCGGTCTGGCGACGAGATGTTCAGCTGTAGAGTCACCAGGATCTCAGCACTTCTGGTCCCGGTACACGGCAGTCGTACCCTGTTACAACAGGACGTTAATTCAAACATTTTCTACAATGGACTTGAGATTTTTCACAGGCATGATGCGAACGACGAGGTCGCCGTGGCCGAGTGGTTTGTACGCCGGGTTTCATGGCGTCGCCGACTCAAGAGGTTCGAATCCCGGTGGGGGCAGATATTTGTGTGATGAACACGAGCATTTGTACTCCAGTCATGGATGTTTAAATATGTATTTCTATACTAGTGGCCCGCCCTCGCTTCGCTTCGGTGTAGAGCTGTAGTGTAAACTATAGTATTTGTTCTCAGGCTTGTGCTATAAACAATGACTTTATTTATATAATTACACGTGTTATTGTGAGTCAACCATAAAAGATAGACATATGCTGTTGCGGGATATTTTTTAGACAATTTTATGTAGAATGTTTTCGTCATACATGATTTCTATGTAACTTTAACCATTAAGGCTGCACACGCGACGGAAGCTTAAAAAATGGAGTAACTTCTCCCGTTTTCCCAACATTTCCTTTCACTACTCTGCTGCTATTGATTGTAGCGTGATGAAAAGTAAACTATAACCTGCCCAGGAGTATGAAGAATAATTGTACCAAGTTTCGTTAAAATCCGTCGAGTAGTTTTTGTTTCTATAAGGAACATACACACAGACAGACAGACAGACAGACAGACAAAAATTTTACTGATTGCATTTTTGGCATCAGTATCGATCACTAATCACCCCCTGATAGTTATTTTGAAAATATATTTCATGTACAGAATTGACCTCTCTACAGATTTATTATAAGTATAGATAAATATACTTATATATGTAAAGTATGTGTATTCTATCCGTTACCCGAGTATCCCATAACACAAGCCTTATAGTGCTTACTTTGGGGCTAGGATAATTGGTGTGTTGAAAAAAAAAACAGTTATTTTTATGACAAAACTTTTTACTAAAGATTCAATAAAAGCTTCTATAATTATTGTCTGCTTAATTGTTTTTTAGAATCGGCTGATGAATAATTACAGCTAAACTGCTTTCTAGTCCAATGGTACTGGGTTTGAACCACGACAAGGCATTTTTTATACGAAGAGCATTCAAAGATACCTAAGTAATAAAGGTACCTACATACTGGTATTTTGTTGCTCTAATTCAAGCGCAAGATCCGTTACGTTTAGATCTAGTCTCCTATCATCGTCATCATCAGCCTTAATGTTCACTATGGCTAGAATAGCGAGATTGGGCCATGACCCACCACGCGGGCTCAGTGCGGATTGGTGGGTTCTAACGACTGCAGTTACCGCCGGGACCAACGGCTCAACGTGCCTTCCGAAGCACGGAGAAGCTCGAGATAGTAAATTTTTGGTCACCCATCCAATGACCGACCACTGCGAAAGTTGCTTGACTTCAACAATCGGAGTCACACGCGCTAACACTTGTGCCATCGAGCTCCTAGTATTCATCAATAGTATACTCTTATTCTTGCAAGTTAATAGTATTAATTTATCTGACTAAGAAAATCCAGATCAACTCAGTTTTGATAACAACTCTAGTTAAAACGTAAAGTTTGACAGTCATTTTAATAAACATAATGGCGAGTTGTGCCCGAGTGTCGCCGTTTATATCTCAAGTTGTTTTTGTTTATGGGAAACAACGGACATGGTATGTAATGGTGAATTTAATATGTAGCAATAATTTCGTCCGACCGAGATCAGGGTCACAATCCCGAGGGAATAGGGCGGTATAAACAAACTAAACTTTCTGGTTAATGTCACTAGTTTAGAAATCGCACTTAAATACCTTGCGTGTAAGTTTAAGGTTTAATAGAGATTGTTTGACACTGACTTGAACTCTCAGAGATAATGAAAATGTAACAGAATACATATTATGTAGTATCTGTCGAGGAGCTCGACGGCGCAAGTGATTAGCTCGTTCGGCTGCGATCGTTATACTTAAGCAACTTTCGCAGTGGTCGGTCAATGGATGGGGGACCAAAAATTACTATCTCGAGCTCCTCCGTGCTTCGGAAGGCACGTTAAGCCGTTGGTCCCGGCTGCATCTGCAGTCGTTAGCACCCACCAATCCGCACTGGGCCCGCGTGGTGGGTCATGGCCCAATTTCCCTATTTCATCCATAGGGAAGGCCTGTGCCCCAGCAGTGGGGACATTAATAGGCTGATGATGATGATCTGTTGCAATGTTGATAGGGCTTCAACAGTGCGCAATTTTGAAAATAATATTTATGCAGGCTTCAAATCTAAGCTACTTCGTAAGCCGACATCACTAGCCTATTGATGTCCCCACTGCTGGGGCACAGGCTTTGCTTATGGTTGGAATAGGGAGATCCGCGGCCAACGGCTTACGTGCTCGAGATTGTAAATTTTTGGTCACCCATCCAATGACCGACCACTGCGATAGTTGTTTAACTTCAACGATCGCAGTCGGACGCGCTAACCAGTTGCGCCATCGAGCTCCTTAATTTCGTAACTTAACTGATTTTATACCGATTTTCATATTGATGTAATAGTGTGCCGATCCGAACTTATATAATCTCTTATCTATTAGACAAGTCCGTCTGTCTGTGGTGCTGTTTCAGCGGCCAAACCGTAAGAGATAGATGAAGAGAATATTTAAGTTATAAGTCAAGAATAGTCTGATAAGACTACAAACCGGATTTGAGTAACGTAGCACTTCCGGTTTTCGAGAAATCAGGTTTTGGTGAACATTTGGTTCACTGGTTTGCTAGTAATAATAATAATACAATATACTATAGATGCACACTAGTTAGGTGCTTCTCATAATGAATCATATATATGTTACGGTTAATTATATATATATAACATCAAACTAAACTACATGAGGAGCTCGATGGCGCAGGTGGTTAGCGCGTTTGACTGCGATCGTAGTAGTCAAGAAACTTTCGCAGTGGTGGGTCAATGGATGGGGGACCGAAAATTTCTATCTCGAGTTCCTCCGTGCTTCAGAAGGCACGTTAAGCCGTTGGTCCCGGTTGCATCTGCAGTCGTTAGCACCCGCCAATCCGCACTGGGCCCGCGTGGTGGGTCATGGCCCAATCTCCCTATTCCTTAGGGAAGGCCTGTGCCCCAGCAGTGGGGACATTAAGAGGCTGATGATGATGATGATGAAACTACATAATAATAGATAATAAAAGACATATTGGGAACATAGATACCTCTTTTCTTGTGGGTACACATACATACAGGACGGGGTATCTATTAAAACCGACAAAATGTCGAGATGGTGAACTCAACCAATCATATAATATAATAATAAACATTTATTTCAGACTTGAAATCCATATGCAAGTGTTAGTAACAGACGTAATCTAATTCTAGTGTTAGTAAATGAAAAAAGTACAATCGAACACAAATAGAACAAATAACAATATAACACATTCGGATAAATTTTGGAACGCAGTACCACCAAATGGTAATGTTATTTCACAGTGTAGGAAGGCCAAAGGGGAAGATCTTCCTCCGAGCTGGGTGATGATAGCTCGGGGGCCGCGGCCCGACTGATGTTGGTCGGGCATCGTATTTATGAAGAGTTAGCCTCCGAATTTCATTTGCGCGATGTAGGCTTCCATACTATTATGATCGCAGTGCAGGTAACGCCATCTCTTGAGGATGGTGCGTAATGATTTCCTCCATCCGTTGTATATATGTGGGGCATATAGATGTCACCGCCACAACAGTGTTCTTCTCTGTGGTATGGTCATGAGGTTACTTTCCCAGACATTCGCTCCGATTTGAGCGGAAAATTCGCCATGCCCATGACATTCCACGCTAGATAAACTCATCTTAACAACAACACAGAAAATTCAATGTTCCCCGTATGAATGTATTTCACCAATAGGTGGGCTCAGCTTCTAATATAGAAAGTATTTTCGTACTGCAAAAGAGAGCTGTTCGCGCCATATTTGACGACCTCCGTGGCCGAGTGGTTTGTACGCCGGGTTTCATGGCTGTCGCCGACTCGAGAGGTCCCGGGTTCGAATCCCGGTGGGGGCAGATGTTTGTGTGATGAATACGAGCATTTGTACTTCAGTCATGGATGTTTAATATGTATTTATATAAATATACTTATATATGTACAGTATATTATGTATTCTATCCGTTACCCTAGCATCCCATAACACAAGCCTTATAGTGCTTACTTTGGGGCTAGGCTAATTGGTGCGAGTGTCGGAAATATTTATTTATTATTTATTTATATATAATTTAAAGGCAAGAGAATCTCTTAGAGAAAAATTTAAAGAAATTAATATTTTAACACTGGCATCGCAATACATTTATGAAAATATAATATATGTAAGAAAATACTATGACGTATTTGCAAAAAAAGTCAAACCCATAACTTTAACACGAGATTTAAGAACAAGCTTGCCGTTCCATGTTTCAGACTCAAAAATCAAGAGGTATCATTTCTGGGTTGTAGTATTGCATTGTTTAACAAAATTCCCTAAGATCTGATTGAGCTTCCACTAACCAAATTTAAATCTCAGATCAAAAATACTCTTATGAATAAGAGCTATTATAAAGTTAATGGTTATCTAAATGATCGTAATGCATGGAAATAGTGTTTCTTGTAATTTGTTATTTGATGCCTCTTTCTTTATACTAAATATAAAATTTATTGTAACTATATATCTATATCCCAAATGATGTAATGGAAGGTGACTTCAGAAGTATCTCTGAAGTCATTTTTCAACTTGACGACTCTGTATATATCAATACAGGGAGAAAAAAGCCTTGCTGAGTTTCTTGCCGGTTCTTCTCAGTACAAGGTCTCCCGCCGTAGTTTTGCGAACCGATGGCGTAGCTTCTTGACCTTCACAAATGCTTGTAACAGCCTAGACTGAATAAATGACTTTTTATTTCATTTCAATAAAGTATTAAGAGTTTCAAATGAACCATACTCACCTAAAAGTCTGCAGCGTGGTCGGGACGAACCCTCGCTCAGAGATGTTGACTTGCGGCGGCAGCATGGCGCCCCTGCTGTCGTAGTCGATACCCATCACGTACGGCAACTAAGAAAGAAAGAAAAAAAAATATTAGCCTTAAAAAAATTTTGATTACATAAAACAAATACAATAACAGAAGAAAAGCCAACTAGGTCCCTGCCTTAGCATAGTGCCACAGCGACGCCAGGGCCGCTGCGGCACTGATATTCTGGCAGGGCCTAAGGTTGACGAGGCTATATCTATATGAAACAATAGGGGTGATGACGGGGTACATTAAACGAAATTCTATTTAGTCCGTCAGTTAGATGATCAAAAAATAATGGACACGTATTTTTTCTTTGAGCAATCAACCAAAAAATGACAATGTTATAGCGCGTCAAAGTTTGGGAGTAGGGGCTCGTGACATCACTTTTGAGTGAATTTTCCCTTGTAAGTGTACTCAAACGTGACGTCATGCGACTTTTCAAATCAATATATCTCTGCAATGTTTATATTATGTGAAAAAAGAAAAAATACTTGTCCAATACTTTTTGATAATCTACCTGATAAACGAAGAAAAAAAAATTAGTCATCGTCCCTAAAAAAAAACTACAAATCTATACTTACTAACAAAAAATACTAACATAGATAAAAGGGTTATGTTTTTATTTATTTTCAGCATTTAACTGCTAGATGTTTAAATCTAAAGAAAAGTTTACTAGAAAAAGATCCACGCGGACCAGGCAGCGGACGGGACTCGAACCTGCACCCTTCGCAATCCGGGCGAATGCACTGACCATTATGCTACCACGGCCCTATTCGTAGCATAATGGTCAGTGCATTCGCCCGGATTGCGAAGGGTGCGGGTTCGAGTCCCGTCCGCTGCCTGGTCCGCGTGGATTTTTTTCTAGTAAACTTTTCTTTAGATATAAAAAGGGTGTTATAAAAAACTATCTGAACATGCTTAGTGAACAACAGAGTATATTTTGTTGCCTGCCTGTTCTGTTTCGCAAGCCTGTTTACGTTAAGTGAAAAACTATAAATTGAGTCGTAGATTCTATGAAAAGCTTTGCTTAAGTAGTAAATGTGTTTTCAGATGTTTCCTAAATGTGTGAATTGTTTTGCAAATTGCAACTAGAACAACCACACTTGTAAACATAATAATCCACAATATCAATGTCCTGAATTTGTCCGAATATAGAATTGTCTCGAATTATCCCGAATTGCCACCGACTTACTGTGGCCACTATTTCTACCCGAACAAAGAAATTTGGTGACTCATTTCTTTGTCGTACTATTCGTAAGTGGAATTCTTTAACCGCGCAAGTGTTCCCTCCTTCCTATAATCTGGGGTCCTTTAAGAGAGGCGTGAAGAAGCATTTTTGCAGGCCGGCAAGGTGAGGATGATTGGTGTAGCAGTTTATAACTGCTGTACCAACTATCTTCGCGTTTGGACTTTATAACCTCTTAACATCAGTGGGCCAATCGCCTAACCAGATTGCTTTGGAAAACGCTATCGCTTACGATTTCATTTTGTTATTTCTAACCGCCGAAGGTTTTCAAATACCTCACGCTCATTTTCTTTAACACTGTTATTACCAATGCAAAAGAAAAAAAAAGAGCGCGAGGCATTTGAAAACCTCAGGCGGCTAGAAATAACAAAATGAAATCGTAAGCGATAGCGTTTTCCAAAGCAATCCAGTTAGGCGATTGGCCCCCAGGTGGGGTAGAGTCATTTGCCAACCTCTATACATAAAAAAAAAATTGGAGGAGCTCGATGGCGCGGGTGGTTAGTGCGTTCGGCTGCGAACTTTCGCAGTGGTCGGTCATTGGATGGGTGACCAAAAATCTTCTATCTCGAGTTCCTCCGTGCTTCGGAAGGCACGTTAAGCCGTTGGCCCCGGATGCATCTGCAGTCGTTAGTACCCGCCAATCCGCACTGGGCCCGCGTGGTGGGTCATGACCGAATCACCCTATTCCATCCATAGGGAAGGCCTGTGCCCCAGCAGTGGGGACATTAATAGGCTGATGATGATGATGATGATGGTGAATGTCCTTAATGCTGGGGGCACAGGACTTTCCTTATGGACGGAGTAGAGAGAACGGGTTATGAGCCGGACCACGAGGGTCTGCGATCTAAGGGTTTAATATGTCTTCCAAAGCACAGAGAAGCTTAATATAATAATTTTGATCAAAATTAGATAAATAATAAGTATATGGTCACTGGTCATTACAACATTTTCACGTACGCAGACCGAACGTGCTAGTCACTGCATCATCAAGCTCCTTACAAACAAATAATATTACAATAATAATTATGTTTACAAATATATTTAGATACTTAGGAAATACTGGTAAACATACTGTGAAATGTTTAGTCTATGGTCATACAAAAAGCCACGCTATGCTTAGAGATCAACTAGAGGCAATAGTGTCCTCCTTACCGCATCGCTTGCAGTGCGGTTGACACGGAAGTATAAGCTTCAGCATTGTGAACAATAAAAATCTGCCACAAATTGTGTTAGAAAGCATCAAAAAGTACTCAAATCTTCACAAAATATATAAAAGATCGACGCAGAAGAAAATCTGATTCAAATGATATAATCACTAGCTGACCTAGCGAACTTCGTACCGTCATAAAAATAGGGGCTGGTGGTAGAAGAGAAAATTTAGGGTTGTATGTATTTTTAATACCACATTATAAAAAAAATAGTGTTCAAAAAAATTTTAGGGGTGTGTAACGTAGTGTTCTATCAATTTCCTGGGATAACATTCCTCCTATATGCATATAAAATTTCATAAAAATCGGTCAGGCCGTTTCGTAGGAGTATGGTAACTAACATTGTGACACGAGAATTTTATATATAAGATTTTCGACCAAAGTGATTTTGCCTCTCAACTGTCGATATAATAATATTGATAGCTAACTTTGCATTAATAATTCTCTTCTAAGTAAAACATTCTCACTGAATTAAAGATTTTAAGCACCAGTTATCAATACATTGTAACATGTAGACTTAGATAACAATTATTATAATAGGGTATTTGACAGTATTAAAAATAAAGTGCCAATTGTTAGCATCTGTGTTTAGAATGAATATTGGCAGGGGTTTTTACTATTTTTTTACAAAACAAATATTCATAATTTTACTAAAATCCCACGAAAAAGATAATAGTTTTCTTATCTATTGTCACGTGACCCAAAACGCTTGGGATTGGCGGAGCCTAAAATGACGTCACACGCAAGTAAACTTCCGGTAAAAGTGACATTACATTGTATCGTTCGACGTTTTAATAACAGTCATGTGACGTCACACACTAGGAAGACGCCATATTGTCCAGAGAAACATTTTCGCAGCAACTTGAAAATAGAGTTTTGATTTGGTTATTTTAACTTAAATACGCAACAGAATGATGAATATCCACTTTTTACGGACTGCATAAACATTAGTCAATAACGTGAGATCGTTTTCTAAAACTTGTCAATTACCCTAATCTAAAAATATTGACAAAAAAGAGATTAACGTTTCCCCAATATTTTTCAACGATATCTTCGTTAACAATGCATTATCACATTCATTCAGATCTCTGAATGGGACAAATGTTATTCGCTGTTCGAAAAAATGACAACAAATGGTAGCAATTAAAAGTCGCGCCAAAACTCGACGGGTACAAACAACAACGCCATAAATATACGTTGAAAAAGCGGCGACTTAATCTGACCTTTTGTTTCCTCAAATTAAATCGAATTCGGAGCGAACGGGAACGAACGAACAGCGACAATTACACTAGCCAAACACAAACGAGCGAGCGGCCTCAATGGGGACAGAGTTAGTTTAAAGGCGAAGTTAAGATAGCATCAACAGCTTAAATGGAATTTTGGGACAAAAACAATACTCCAGATTTGATCGAGGAACAAGCTGATGTAAAAACAGATGTTGATTGTTCCGGAGAATCGGTGTTATGAAGTCATCCAACTAATATAATAAATTTGAAAGTTTGTGTCTTTGTTACTCAATCACGTAAAAGCGACTGGATCGACACATACGATACTTCTTATCCTTAAAAAAATTTAGGGTCCCGAAGTATTCTTGAAAAACTTAAGGTTAATGCAGACGAAGTCACGGGCTACTTAAATAATAAAGTTAAATAATATGCTATAATAAATGTAAATAATAAAGCTAATAAAACACTCAAAATGAGTGTGGGGAAAGGGTGAAAACAGCCGGCAATGAAAATTCAAGAAGGTTATTTATAGCATTTAATATGCTTGTCGAAATTAAAATATCTGTTTAGCTTGGCTATTAGCATTAAACAAGACTATTTTTTAGTACAATCTCTAGTCAATGAGGAATGAGTGGAGATTTTAAAATCGATATTGAGTCAAATGAGATTTCTAAACAAACTCACAATTTTCGAGTGGATTTAGGCGAGACAGAAGCTGATATTGTGACAAAACAGGTGGAGGCTGTCCCGGAGAGTTCTGTTATGAAGTTAGGGTGAAACCAAACGAGCGTAATTTTGTGAGTTGTGAGTCGCTTATTTTCGGTCACTTATTTTACGTTCAACTGAATTTCTGTTGAGCTGCCATACGAACGTAATTTATTCAGTTACTATTGAGCGTTAGTACGGGGTGTTCGTGTCGTCGAGTGCAATGGATCCATTAAAAATATTGTGTATTTATGAAGCATATTCAGAAGATGAGGCCAGAAAAAGAAACTGGGTAAAGCCACTGAATAGTCAGAGGCTGATATGTGGACAGTTCCATACTTTATATGAACGTTTATGTGCAAATCCAGATAAGTTTGAAAAGTACTATCATATGCCATTACGTGTTCTTCAAGAATTATTACACCACGCAACTTGTAACAAACTGTTGCTTCCCCACTCCCCTTCCTTGCCCTACCCTCACCCCGACCGAAATTCGGACGAGCTTATGCGCATTGAGTCGGCAGACAACTTATTTTACGTTGTCGTGTGGCACCAACTGCCTTTTTGTATGAAACCGAATGCAGCAGAATTTCTGCGACCGAAATTCTGCGACTCACCACTCACAAAAGTTACGCTCGTTTGGCCTCACCCTTATT